TTAAAATCATTTCGAACTTTTAAACATTATTTTCCTACGCTTTTATCCACAGTAAAATATAGATACTAAATCTTAAGTAAATATATTTTTAAAATGTCAAAAGGTTACACAAAATATTGATCTAAGAAATTAAAAACGCAAGTTTTTTTTTCTGTGGAAAGCAAATCAAAGCGTTTTCTTCTCTCTTTTTGTCTCATTTATATATTTTTGTGGAGGCAAAGACGGCAAAACCTGACGTGTACAAAGCGCAGGCGTAAAGAATTCCGCGAGAGCAGCGTATCGGTGGAAACACAGGTGAGAGCAGGAAGAAATGGGGAGAGAGAGCAGAGCTCCAACATGTTCGAAGGCCACGAAGAATCCGTGGCTTAAGAAGTGTTACAAACTGGCGCAGCGCCTCAGAAGAAAGAAAGTTTTCGGCTGTGCTGGCTGGCTTCTATTCGCTCCTCCAGCGCTGATCTTGGTATAACCACCACTATCACCACTGCACCATCACAGCTCCAGCAGTTCAAGCGATTCTCCATCCGTGTGCTCAGTGGAGCGTCTTCCGCGTTTTGTGGCTGCGTCGCTTAATTGGCCCAAAAGTATCTCAAGTGTGTGATTGTGAAAGTTCCTGAACAGAAAAAGAATCAGAAGAATGTACGTGAGACGAGCTCTGCTCTTGGCCTGCCTGCTGTGCCTCCAGCCGCTGGGTCCCTCGCTGGCAAGCGAGGATGAGTCCAATCCGCTGCTGGACATGGCCTCCATGTTCTTCCAGGAGGCGCTGTCCAATCAGAACGGTGGCAATAACGCAGCTGGCGGTGGCGGCGGAGCTGGAGCTGGCTTAGCGGGCATGGCTTCGCTGCTGGGCACCTTTATGCAGGCCAGTGGAAAGTCCGGAGGTGGCGGCGGCGGCGGTGCCATGCAGATCCTTTCGGGCCTGGGCAGCCTTTTGGCCAACAATGCCCGTGGAAATGGCGGCCAGGGCGGTGGATTTGATCCGTCGATCATTGGCAATGTCCTGGAGATGTTCACCCAGGGAGACGATGAGGAATCCACCCCAAACCAAAAGCGTAGCAATGGCGGCAGCGGCGGTTCCGAGTCTGGAATTGGTCTCGACACCATACTCCAAGTGGCTTCAGCTTTCATGAACACCCAGGGCAGCGATAAGGCATCGCATCACCACCAGAAGCGTTCCGCTAGCGAGGAGCCTGAAAGCGACAATGGACTAATGAATCTATTGCCTTTGGTGATGCAGGCGGTCAGCTCCTTTGCCGGTCCCGAGGGTCAGAGCACCCAAGAGAAGCACAAGAGCCATGCCTGGGTACTGCCACCGTTCCTCGAGCACATCCATGTGCTGTGGGATCACTTCTCCAACTCGGAACTGGCCGATGCTCTCTACGAGAAATCCGGAGTCAACAAGATCATGAAGGTGGATTACTAAGATAAGACGGGAATTGATGATAGAGATAAAAAGATTTAGTTGAGAACCAGAGAAATATATAAAAATAATGTAGAATCAAGGGGTTACATTCGACTCGAATCTTGGTTTGCCGAAAATAAACATATTCAAAATATTTAAATTTAAAGTAAAATCTTGAAAAAAGATCATCTTAACATAACATAAATAAAAATTTTAAGAATATTCTTTAAACTGAGGTATAGCTAATCCTAAATAACAATAAAAAAAAGTTCAATAATTGTATTTAAGATTTCTCAACTAACTTTTAAAATACTAAGACCTAAAATAATCATATTTTACTTGTCCACTCTTTAATTTCTATCTTAATCCTATAGTTTTATTCAACGTATTAAATCTCTTTAATTATTCTTCTTTGCAGGGCTTCAAGGGCAACGATGGCAAGCTGGACTATGACAAGCTCTTCGAGTCGCTGAACAACCAATCCTTCCGCCGCCGCTGGATCAAGTCGGCCACACTCTACCTGGCCGACTGGGCCAGCTATCTGGCCAATCCCGATGTGTACCTCAGGTGAGTTCTCAGTTCTCAGCTCACTATTAAACGTGGCTCAATTCTGGAGTGACCAAAGTGCGTGTTAATTGTGGATCACGTTTTGTTCTGAAACGGTGTCCCAATGCAGTTAGCACCTGGCTGCGATTCTCGCTCCCAGTCCCCAGTCCCAGTCCAATTCTGATTCGGATTCGGATTCTGATTCCAAGCGGGTGCTACTCCTCTACTTGTGCTAACCATTTCCCGTTAGCGACACAACCCGTTTGCACATCGAGCATGTTCGATGCGGCTACCTTTTGACCCACTTTTTTTGAAGCTGGCGCTTTTAGAACGTGCCTGCTAATCCAACTGGTCAACAGTCCCAGTCCCAGTCCCAGTCCCAGTCCCAAGTCCCAAGTCCAGGCTCTGTTACAGTTACAGTTGATATGCAGAAGATATGCCGAAGTCAACGGCATCGTTAAAACAAACAAATAAACAAAGCGGGCCAGAAACCGGTCGCCAGTTTCAGGCAAGGGGAAATGGCTTAAAGCCAAGCAGGCCTTACACTTGGCTAAAAGCATTAAGTATTTCTTAACGTATTGATTTTAAAATGGAATATTTTAAATTGGCAGAAATTTATTTTAGAGAATTATAAAGGTATAGACTAAACAGCACCCCACAAAAATATCAAAAGTTCAGTGTTTACCCAACATTGTGCTCCAGTTAATGTGCTGTTTATGTCCTACTCTTTTTCTTGAGTGTACTATTCTGAATCAAAAAATTTTGCATGACTTCAAAGTGGGTCAGGTTTCTCAGACTTCTTACTCTTCTGCCATTTTATTTATTTTTATTTTTCTATTTCGTTGCCCCATCATTGTTAGACAGCAACAACAATGGCACAGACTAGCAGCAGCAGCAGCAGCAGCACAACTTCCACTTTCTAGCGAGACCCTTTCACTTGACTCGGTCGGTGCTGCGTCATTGAAACTCATCAATTGTTCGCTCTTTCTCCACACTCTCCAGGTACTTCCAGACGGCACAGATCATGTTTAACGGACTGCTGAAGTCTCAAGGTTACCCCAAGCAGACTCACTTCGATCCCTCGCGTCCGGGTGAGACCATCTCCAATCTGCTAGACCATGTGGCCAAGCATCATCTGAATGTGAAGATCGATTCCCGGCAGTACGTAAAGCCGGCGGTGGGTTATGCCAAGGAGCTACTGAAACTCGGCCAGGCACGCGGATTATTGCAGTTCAATGCCACCGAAATCAGCGACAAGCTAACGGATACGCTCAACCTGGAGGTAAGTAGATACTCCGATCGATCTGGGAACTGGGTTGCTAGACAATTAGCTAGAGCTCTTTATCAGCAAATCAGATACAGTTGCGGTTAGAATAATAGCACTGAAATAACACTTTGAAATGATTGAAAACCCACATATTTGATTCTAACCATATACCAAAGAGCAACTAGATTATGTAAACATCACTCTAAACCCTACATCTAGAAAACAATGCTATTATTCTAACCACTTCTGTTTCGTACTAAATACTAAACTGGACACAAATTAAATTAATTACGCCATTATCTATCTTCGCCTCCATTCCTTGGCTTAAACGCACTCGAATCGTATCTAACAAACGGATGCCGAATGCCAAACAGGTTATTGAACCGGTGCTAAAAGTCCACCGCGCCTACAGATACATCTCGAAGACGCCGCAATGCGACCGCTACGTGCTCTGCCAGCTGAATGCAGCGGCCCTCGATCTCCAGCAGAAGCAGCAGCAGCATGAACAGTACCAGCAGCACCAAAAGCAGCAGCAGCAGCAGCCACGGCAGACGACGGCGTCTGGTCTGATCGCCGGAGTCAGTCCGAAAATCGTCAAGATCGGCAGCATGGGTGCAGCGATCTTCATTAGCACGGAAACCGGTACGCCATTCTGGACGCTATTCGGTGTGATCAATGCGCCATACAATTGCGAGGTGAGTGCCACAAGCTATTGCTACTGTGCTACAGGGGGAATAGTTTTATTCCAATTCAATTAGAGCTGTTTTCACGATTCCTTTCTCTATATATCAATGTTAAACTTGCTATAAATTTACATTATTTATATCCCTTTTTTAACTTTTATAAAAGTACATTTCCTTAAAATTTCAAATAGAAAATCCAACTTACTTGCCAGTTTACTAAATAATTTCTTTCTCTGCACTCTGTTTTTGTCGCCGCTTTCTAACTGCTATTTCTGCGAATCCGTCGTCCGCCAACATTACAGGCCAAATACCCCGTCGACTGCAATGGTTTCCATGAGGGCGAGGCCAAGGTGACCACGGAATATATCCACAACGAGTTGTAGTCGCACTCTCAGGTGCAGATCACGAGCCAGATGGAGACGAATAGGAGTCGAATATGCTCATTAAGACGATGATTTAGCTGTAATTGAGATAAAGATTTCGTGTGTATATAGTATTACGAATTGAAATATATTTAAATTTAAACCCTACATAAAATGGAAGTCATTTTTATGATGGATTTCAGATAAATCTGTACCAACTCATTTTCAGGTTTTAAAATTCCAAAACGAAAGTGCATGAAATAATCAAAAATAGTGAATGCTTCAGGGCTAAAACATCTTATCTTATCTTCTTCGGGAGGGTCATGAAAAACAAAGAAGCATCATTTATCTTTTTATAATGATTGTTATTATGCTACAGATTGCTCTTTGTGGTCAACGAACCGCAAGAGAAATGCTTTTCCGACTACAGTCAAACTTCCATAAGTGAAAACGTTGGTAAAAGGAAAACATAGAAAGTGAATTACTTCCAAATTTCTTTATTTATTGATTTAATATTTCCCTATGAAAAACTTGAAAAATTAATTTATTAGTAGAACGAATTCAAAATTGGTTCAAGAAAAATATATTATCGAAGTTTTACTTTAGTTACGTCGCTCGACGTTGCTTTTTTCAGTGAAACCAGTTAATGTGTTTGTGTGAAAACTCGCCAGGGGCATATTTTCACCATTTCCATTTCGGAGTGGGCTCCCAGCTTGCACTTGACTTCACAGTGCATTGTGGATTTTCGGGCACAGCGGACGCTTAGATTTTGATTTGCCATGCAGCTGATCTATCGCGAACTAGAGGCGGACATTGTCCGGCGTACGAATGCCGTCTTCCCCGCCCAGAATTGCTTTGTGGAGGTGCTACCCGACCAACTGATCATACCAAGGAAGTACATGGAGCTGGGTGAATCCATCCGTTCGCTTCCCGTCTTCGAGGACGATGTGTGGATGGTGTCCTATCCACGTACTGGCTCGACTTGGGCACAGGAGATGGTCTGGCTGCTGGGTCATAAGCTAGACTATGTGGCTGCCGAGCAGGACTTGCGTTTGCGCTCTCCACTGATCGAGCTATCTGCTTTGTTCAGTACTGATCACCATGAGACGGTGGCGTGAGTATTTTGACAATAAACATTTTGAAACAAAGCTTTAAAAATCGATCCTTTATAAATTGTATAAAATAAGTTTGTAATTATCATTTAACTTTATTAAATGTTTCGTTTCCAAGAACAACACAGAAAAAGAATAATAACAAGAGTAAAATAAAATGGATCGGTGAAATTATGACCCTTTCAGGGTATCCTAATTTCAGTCACAAGCTTGTAATGCAGTCAAGGAACCACTTCCGACCCTATTAATCATATATATTCTTGATCAGCATCAACTGGCGAGTTTTTCTAGCCATGCCAAAAAGAAAATAAAATTTTTAATTTTTTCAAAAATTTTACAAGGGGTTACATCGTTAAAATTCCAAAAAATCTTCAAAAATTGCAATATTCTGTAATTTTAAATTTAATATGCAGACTTATTAATCTAATAAAAACTAGCAAAGAAATGCTTTCAGAATTGAATTTGATGCTTTTTTGGCTTAATTATGCTATTTTTCAGTTTGATTTATTAAAAATATTTAAGAATACAGAAAGCTTTCTTCCTTGCTTGAGTAAATTTCTGATTAAGTAACACCACTAAAATTATTTTAAAACTTACCCCTAAAAGTCCTTTCCCAATCCGCTTAAATTAAACTTTCTCTCATTTTCCGACAGTCAAACGTTTGGAAATACCGTAGATTTGGTTCGCAATCTGCCACGCCCCCGTTTCGCCCGTTCGCATCTGTCATGGCAACTGCTACCCGAGGAATTCGAGACGGTGAAACCTCGAATTGTGTACACCGCTCGCAACCCCAAGGATCTGTGCGTGTCCTATTATCACTACTGCAAGTTGCTCCACGGCATTAATGGGGACTTTGAGCAGTTTGTGGATCTCTTCCTGGAGGGACACACTCCGATGGGCTCCTACTGGAAGCATGTGCTGCCATTTTGGAAGCGGAGCCAGGGGGAGAATGTGCTGTTCATCAAGTACGAGGACATGATCAAGGATCTGCCACGAGTGGTGCGTAGCTGCGCCCGGTTCCTGGGCGTCGAGAGTCTCCTGACTGCTTCCAGCCAGCAGCAGCTGTGCGAACATCTCACCTTTGACAAGATGAGGGCCAATAAGGCGGTGAATCTGGAGAAGCTGCTGCCGGAGTCATCGTCCAAGTTTATAAGAAATGGCAAAATTGGAGATTGGCGAAATCACATGGGAAATGAGATGTCCGAACGATTTGATGCCTGGACGGAGAAGCATGTCCGCGGGGCCGGTTTAACTTTTGATTACGAGTGAATTTTATTTGTTTTAAATGTTTGTATTTTAAATAAAACGTATTTTTGTTGTTTTTCGTTGGCGGCAAAACGATAACTAGGGATGTGCAAAATTTATAAATCGATACTGGTACTATTCGATTACGTATAGACTTATCGGCTATTGCGGCTGAATTGTTTACTTCTGTTTTTGTTTTAGTTTATATTTCCTAATTTTGCAATGTCTAGTGAAACCGCCGATGCCCTGGCTGCCCACATGTGCGAGCTGGTGCAGTTCTATATGCTGCCGGAGCTGAAGGAGGATCTGGACAGCGTTCCCTTGGCGGCATCACAATTCGAGAGCTATCATTCACTGCTGATCCAGGATCTGCCAAAGCTGTACGATTTGGTGCAGGAATTCCTGCAGAAGAGTGGCGGGGCGGGACACGAGGAGGTTGTAGTTTTGCTTTTACTCTTAAATTGATTTCTTAAAACACTCAATATTCCGTTTGTAGCTAAAAGTTAAGCTCCTCCTGCTGCTCTGTGAACTGACAGCAGCTCCCACGATTTACCAACTCAAGGATGGTCCTGAGAATCTTCTAAGGAACGCCAATGAGCTGGCCAACAAGCTATCTTCTAGCTGGTGGAAGTCCACGGATGCCCAAATGCTTAAATACTACGAGCAGAAGCTGCACAAAGACTCCTGGAAGAGACAGCTGGGAGCAGTCCATGGATTTGCCAGATATTTGGAGGTAGATCTTGTAGCTATCTGGATTATTGGTTTATTGTATTTACAATTACTTCTCTGCAGCTACGTTACACGGATAAGTCAAGAATGTCCACTCAAATGCTGGCTTTTGCCCTGTCGGTGGGTCTAAACGTCCGGGAATGCTATGATTCTGCCTACAAGCAACTTGGCGTCCAGATCTTCTCAGTTATGCTGAAATTTAGCGTGGGTTGGGATTCAGACCACTTGACAGCATTATCTTAAATCTTTGCCTTGCAGGATCCCAAGGATGTTCAGGAATTAAACGTGCACAGCGTTATCTATGATCATGCACTCAAGGATGCCTACAATATGGAGTCCGTTGAAGCTATAGGCGCAGTCTGGAACTGCATGTATTTGTGCCTCGATCACTTTGTCGACTTGGATGCATATACGGTGGGACGAAGCTCCATAATCTCCAAGTGTTAGAGTTAATGTGCCCTTGCCTCCGCCTCTTTTCAGTGGAATCAATGCGACGACATGATGGATCGTTTGATCCACAATGTGGGCATGAGTTCAAAGCCAAAAGTCTCCATTTGCTTGCTGCAGTTCATCACCCGGCTGGGCTACTACTTCACCATCAATCGCAGTGCTGTGGAAGCTGCACTCGCCACAGATCTAAGTAAGCCAGATAACTTGGCTGCCTGTCTGGACGAGTGCCTTTCCCTGAATGCCAGCACTAGCTATCGATGGGCCAAGGCCATCCTTCAGATGTTCGTTTTGGAATCTGAAAAACTGCTCCAGGGACCCGAGGTGTGTGTCGAGCTTATGGAGCAAATGCAAAGATGCTATTTGGTCTGCATTATGCCCATTCCTTTGGAGGCCTTGAGTCCGCACCTGCCCGAGTTCTATGGGAAATTTGTGGCCGTGCTTTTGGAGTGCATAATGGCTCACGAAAGGACGCCAGCTGTTGTAAAGGTAATTTACGTTTGATCTAATGCCTTTTCTCAAGCCTTAAAAATGTATTTAATTTATAAAATGGTTTTGAGTCCTCTGTTCTGATAATAGATAATTACATTTGCCGCATCGGTTCTTATCTCTTTTAGATCGTTCAGCGATTCACGAGTATTTTCTGCTTCCAGTTGGCTGAGAAGACGTTGCCCTCTCACTTGGCGGAGTTTCCGGAGGCTTTAAGTAAAATACAAATTAAAATTTCAGAATAAAAACACACTGTTCATATTACTTGTTGATTCAGCAGCAGACGAGTCGCTACGGAGATCACTACGGTGTTTGGAATTAGGCTTATAAGGCCGGGTTTCAGGCCAAAGAAGAAGCCCCTGTATCCATGTTTCTTTACGACTAGTCGGCACAATTTTTTATAGGTGAAATCACTGTAGCGACTGTGATTCAGAGCCATAACGGACAGTGTGTCTATCGGTGTCATAATGACGTTCACGATGCTGCCTGTCAACGCCATGCGGGCGAGATTTGGTACCCAGGAGTTATCTTTCTTGTAAAGCCGCGGTGCAAGGTCTTCCACCAAATTGCTCACCGGCTTATGCAGCCCAGTCATCACTGCGCTACTGACTGCATTCATCTCCCAGCCAATAAATAGGTGCTGTATGCCGCCCTTGCGAAACATGCACTTCAAGCCGGAAGTCAAGCGTCTATAGCTGAAAGATACAAAATGAGTGCAACCAGTGGGATAATAGAGACTCGAGTTGATGCAAAGGCTATAAAGTTCTATAAACTGAAACTTTCCTTACTTGCGCCTCTGGAATGAACCGCGCGTGAGGTCCGCCTGCCGGATGACCGATAGCTTGGCCAAGGGCGTGGCCACGATGCCGCCACATAGGCTGCACAGTGCCTTTAGGACTTCGGTGTTGTACGGTTGCAGCATTATAAAGTATGGATGCTGGCACAGAAGTTGGTGGAGATTTCTAAATAGATGGTACGAAATGATCGTTTGGACAGTGCAGCGTGTGACAGCTGCATCGATCCCATAGTAGAAGCCTGGCAGTCCGTGTCTAGACATTCTTTCGAGCATGTGTCGCATTGTCAGCCGACTATGCTTATGGGCGTTTGCCTCAATATTCACACGGATAAGATCTATAGGATGGGACAACACAATCGAAGCCATCTTCACGATGTATCCCTCGTAAACGGGCACCGCTGACAAGGTTTCCATCTCGTTTCCCCCATCGTAATTGGTCATTATCTAAGTGAATTTTTATATTTGTAAAAATTTTTAAATGTTTTCTAAAGTTTAATGCTAAGACTACTCGCACTCGGCACGCAGCTTGGCGATCTCCAGCTGGGTCTTCTTTGCCTCCAGCATGGTCACCGTTCGCCGCAGCTCGGCGATCTCGTTCATCTTGTTGAAGTAGATGGACTTGGTCTCCAGATACTCGGTCTCCGCCTTAATCAGGTCCTTCTGCAGTCGATTGCTCTCGGAGGGCAGCGGGGACACCAGCTGGTCCAGATCGATGCGCACCAGCTGGTCGTCCTCGTCGAGCAACTTCTCCATCAGGCTGGCCGTGGAGGTGAATTCGCCGCTTGCAGGAGCATCTGTAGGACCTGCCGGGGTCAGCGGGTCCGACTTCATACTTCGGAGCACCGTTGATTTTCGCACACTGCCTGCTGCTGGCTTGCCGGGAGTTGACGGAATACCTAGCTCTACCGAAAGATCCTCCCGGAACGAGGTGCACGATTTCCTGGCGTGGACAACCTTCGGTTACAAACTGTACTCGAAAAGAGCGGCAAAAAGTGGCCACATACCTGTGGATAATCAGCCTGTCGATGCTGGTGTTGGACTGGTATTTCTGGCAGTGGATGCATATCGCCCGGTACTTCTTCGGATCCCCGTCCTTGCCCTCCTTGTCGGCCGGCAAAAACCCGAGCCTCTTCCAAGTGGCTTCCTTGGTAAGTCCAGCGCGCTTGGGTCTTTTTAGTGACATTTTCCTCGTCAAAATTAACAACAAACAAAGATTCTACACCGATAGTTCGTGTTGCCAGCGTCGCTACACCGATATATCGATAGACACTCGATTCTACGCAAAATATACATACACAGCTGTACAGAATCTGAGCCGCTTGCAAACAGTACATGTCATAAAATGCCACGAAAAAAATCTGAGGACTTTTACAGGTAAAAAGTATTTGAATATAAAGTGAGTGCCCCTTTTACCGAATCTATTGCAGATTACACGGCTTTACGGCCAACTGTGAGCGAGGGAAGTACACGGCGACCTGCCACTTCTGCCACAAAGTGCTCCAGAACACCGCGCTGACCCGCCTGGCACTGCACAGGTAACGTCCTTGGTTCACCGATTGTAAACATTAGCATTATGCCCACATATATGTACATAAAAATGTATATTGCAGGCAAACTTGTGATGAACAGCGGCGCAAGGACTTGGCCACTGAGACTCTGGAAAGTTATATTGACAACCGGCACCAGATCAAGGTAAATAACGAGTTGTGACAGTGCACCGCGTATATTTGCATGTTTAAAACCAGTCTGAATATAAATTCCTTGTCTTAGATCCAGAAAATATCGGCTGAAGATGAAGACCAATTGGCCAGTGACAACGGAGGAAAAGAGATTATAGTTCAGGTAAATGCTACAAACTGAAAACTCAGAAAAATGAGATTTAACATTTGTCTTCTCCAGATACAACAAATTCTAGATGCTACCGATAATGGAAAAGCTAAAAAAGCCCGGAAATCTGTCCTCGTGAAAGAGGAAACTCGCCAAAGTGCTGAACCGGAGGAAGAGGAGCATATGGAAGAGCAGCATTTGGAAGAGCAGCATTTGGAATACGAGATCACCGAACCTGCTTTTATAGACGAGAGCAAAGAAGTAAGATATCTGTATAGCTCCCATTTGGAGTCGATTGCTTATGGATCAGGATTACATATTGCAGGAACCGCTGGAGGATTCAAACAATGGCTCTGCAATATTTTTGGAGCCTAGGCCCAGGAACAACCTGGCTGCCCTTAAGGCGGAGAAGATGCGAGCAGAGATCCGGCATTACCAGAGTAAGACCAAGTTCCTCAAGACGGAGACCGACAACCTGAAACTCGAGCGCACCCTGGCTCTGCTGAAGATTCAGAAGCTGAGGCTCGAAATCGACAGCCTGCGCGGCTAAGTTCTGTGTCTGCCTGCAGAAAGTGATTTGAGATTTGGACTTGGATACCCAGAGTGGTATCTATATAGCATTTAAATAAAAAGGATAATTTTACTATTCTTGTATTCTTTCTTAACTACACGAATTAAAAGTTTTTTAAAACAAATATATATTTTTATTGCAACTTTTAAACAAGAATCAATATATACATATGTTTATACTAAAACTTAGAGCTCAGCTTAATCACGCAAGGCGTCGATTTCCAATCGCAGCTTCTGAATTTTCAGCAAGGTCAGGGTGCGCTCGACCTTCAGGTTTTCTGTTTCCGTCCTGAAGAAATGGGTCTTGCTATGGTATTGCTTGATCTCAGCACGCATCTTCTCCGCCTTGAGGGCATGCAGGTTGCTCCTGGGCCTAGCTTCTAAGATCGTTGTCGAACCGTTGGGCGACTCCCCTAGGTGTTCCTGGAATATGTAATGAAATAGTTTAAAGATGCGGGAAATGCTGAGCTCTTACTTCTTTGAATTCGTCGTCTCCGAAATCAGCGCCGGAAATCTCGAATTCCAAATGCTGTTCCGGCTCATGATCCGGGTTTGCACTTTTACGAGTTTCAGATCTTACTAGGACAGGTGTTCGGGTTTTGTCTGCATTCTCATCGTCGGCTGAATCGATAATTTGTTGTATCTGAAAAGGCAGGAAAAGGTTGAATCCATTTTTCGGAGATCAGAGTTCATGGCAGCATACCTTGACTATAATCTCCTTTCCCTCAGTGAGGCAGTCCTCATCATCTTCGCCAGAAAATTCCTGAAAATATTCCTTAATCAACGGAAAACATGTATATTTAGGGGAGTTTTAAACCTTTTTAAGGACTATGGAAGGAATTGTATTGGGTAATTTTTACATTGACCTTTACCTTGGGTGTAAATTAAAAATGTAATATAAAAACGTATAATTGTTGAATCGATAATGAAATAAACAAACCGTGGGTGGTCTTTTATACGGCTTCCCAAGACTCAGATTCTTACCTTGATACAGTGACGGCTCTCTAGATCCTTTTCCACCTTTTTAGTGCGGGAATCTCTAGCAACAGGACTCTGTTGAGTACATATTTGCCTACAATTAATACATTAATTAGTGGTATGTATGTATACTTTGTGTCTACATTTCGTGGAACAATGAATCTTACCTGTGCAGCGATAGACGGGTCAGCGCGGTGTTCTGGAGCACCTTGCCGCAGAAGTGGCAGGTTGCCGTGTACTTCTTTTGCTTGTAGTTGGCCGTGAAGCCGTGTAATCTGCAATGAATCCTGTAAGGGGCGCATTCACTTTATATTTAAATACTTTTTACTTGTAAAAGTCCTCTGATCTTTTTCGTGGCATTTTATGACATGTTGATGTAGTTTATGCGAGCGACTTGAATGTACAGCTGTGTATGTATTTTTCACGTAAAACGGAGTGTCTATCGATTTATCGCTGGAATAAAACTATCGGTGTAAAATTCGTAATTTTTAACGTGTAAAATTTCATTTGTTTAACAAACAATTTACTTGTTTAAAAAACGTGAATATTATTTATTTAGATAAATAATTCCGTAAATCTTTTTGAATAAAAAATGTAGAACTAATTTTCAGAGACTTAAAGAGATTCTGCTTTTGATATAATTACAATATTTAAATGCATGTTGTCGTTTTGATATGTGAATTAAATGAAACAAAGGAATATAGAATATATTTATAGTTATTATTATTAAGTAAATAATTTATATAATTATATTTTTTAAATAATTTAAAATTAACGGAAAAGTTAAAAAAAAATGCCACGAAAAATGCTATTTGTTTTTCTGTACCATTTGTAAATTCCTACTTTTTTGCTATTTGGTTAATGTAAACAAATGTACACAAATATTTTAAAACTTAAAAAATTGTATTATTTATTAATTTAAATTTTAATAAATTCTGTTACCGATATTTTCAACTAGTTGGCAGCCCTGCTCAGCGGCACTCGATAACTGGCCGCTGCAACCCTGTTCATCACATGATAGCCAGGGAGAAGTCTCGGGGAGGAGAAAAGGTTTTTCTTTGCAGTCGTTTGTCATATGATTAAAAGTCCAGCGGAAAACTGAAAATGTTGCGGAATTGCGTGATTTTCTCGCTGTTTATTGCAGCCAGTAAGTAGAGCTACCAGAAAGGAGTGTGTTAATCGTACCTGCAATCTGCAGCAGATAAGAAATCTGCGGAAATTCTGTGTTCATCGATTCTCCGACTGGGGGTGGTGACCGAGACACCTGAAAGTCTCGAGACTGATGAGTGTTCCTTATGCACGCGCAGAATCAGAAGCAACGGAATAAGGAGTACATCTGGCGGCAATTGAAATTCATGAGATTTTCTTCTCCTTTTCCACAGTCCATGCCGCTGGAGAATTCACGGTGCTGAACCGCCCCAAGGCGATCAGCTTCAAGGGCAAGGATGCACTGGACAGCCACTACGTGGGCGATGTGCTGTACGCTGCCATGGGCAATGCCGTCGTCGGCGACTCCAACTGGAACGGCATGACGATCAACGATCCCTTCAACTTGGCCAAGGGCGTCATTCTGGTGCACGTTTCGGGCATCAGCCACGTGACCACCGCCGGCGACGTCAAGTCCTATGAGCTGACTGGAGCCCACACTGACTCCTCGCTCAATGCCCTGGCTGCCGAGCTTGAGGCCGCCAACGAGCCTGTCTGCGACATCAACTTCGAGCAGTTCGACAATGGCGTAAGTTGGTCTAATTTCTAGTCGTGTAGTTTACCTAATCACTAAAAAAAAAATGTATTCCACTAGGTTCAAGCCTGGAAATCCTGCTTTGGGGACTTCGAGGCTCCAGCTGCCAAGCCCACCAAGAACTTGAATCCCTCTCTGCACTCCGCCGATAAGCAGTTCCTGCAGGAGATTGGCTTCATCAACGGTGCCGCCGATCATCTGGCCGAGATGGCCAAGCCCGCAAATGTCCTGCTGATGCGCGTCTCCGTCGATGGAGTGGCCAAGGCTCATGGCGAGAAGTCAGTTGCCGTGGATGAGGCCAACAAGCTACTGTCGGCTGCCATTAGCCGCCTGCTGGCTGCCTCCCAGAAGTCCAGCGACTCGGTTCTGTTTGTCCAGTCCACGGAGAAGGATGTGGCCGCAGTGTCTCGTGCCAAGCGTGATGCTCTGGCTGCCGACGCCTCCAATCCCTTCAACCTGGCCACCTACTACAACAGCGACTACCCGGTGATCTTCAACATCATCCTCTGGTTCATGGTCGTCTTTGGTCTGTCACTCCTGGCCATCTGCTACGCCATTGCTGCCATGGACCCCGGCAGGGACTCCATCATCTACCGCATGACCTCCACCCGCATCAAGAAGGACAACTAAGCGGAGTAGAGCGTGCTAGGAGCTTCCGTTACCCCTTTTGTTATTTCGTCCTCTTTTTCATTGAGTTAATAAGTTGATCTGCCAACTTCTACTTCAATCAAACAAAAAAAGCGAAGAAATTGTGTGTGTGTGTCGCTGTAGTTGGTTTTATTATCTATAAATAAGTATTAACAAACTTATCAGTTTTCGAAGCAGTTGCGGCTGAGCAATATAATTCCATAGTAATTTGTTACATTTTCCTCTGTTTTTGTTGTACTTTTTAGGTTCATATATACATAGATACCTATGAGAATATGCACAATATACTCGCCGGATCGATCAGTCACTTCTATGTCAAGCTATTCATCATATGTAAATTATCAAAAATGTGAAGTGTTAAAAAAAAGTAACGTTAAATATATATAGCCTAAAAAGACAAGTTAAGTTTCTGTTTTTTTATTGGATTTTTGGGGAAAACTCTGAAAAAGGCGTTAAAATTTCTTCCTCTTGGGCTCTCAAAAAAATAAAGAGGGAAAAGATAAAAAGATCTTGTAATTATACCCTTGCAGGGTATTATAATTTCAGTCAGAAGTTTGCAACACAGTGAAGGATACGTTTCCGACCCTATAAAGTATATATATTCTTGATCAGCATCAACAGGGGAATCTTTCTAGATATGCCAGGAAGAAATCGATTTTTTTGTCATTTTTGCAAAATTTTATAAGGGGTTACATCATTAAAATTGTTGATTTTGAATTTTTTTTTTGAGCATCACTGATGGAAGTGAGCATCACTGATGGAAGTGAGCATCACTGATGGAAGTGAGCATCACTGATGGAAGTGAGCATCACTGATGGAAGTGAGCATCACTGATGGAAGTGAGCATCACTGATGGAAGTGAGCATCACTGATGGAAGTGAGCATCACTGATGGAAGTGAGCATCACTGATGGAAGCGAGCATCACTGATGGAAGTAAGCATCACTGATGGAGATAAGCATCACTGATGCAAGTGAGCAAATTTTTTCATTCGATTTGGCCGCTTTCCAAACTGGGGTAACAGGCGAACAGAAACCAGCAGCAAGCAACTGAAAACTGGTATAAACTGTTATAAAAACATTTGGGCAAAAATAAGAATTGGTATAAACTGTTATATTTCATTTTATGCATTTATACCTATTTGTTGCCGACAACAACAGCTTATGGCAACAACAACCTTTTTACAACAACATCCCTACAGCAGCCCATCCGAATTTCCGAACATTTCCATGCAAATTGCCCGTTTCCCAAATTGGGGTAACAGGCGAACAGAAACCAGCAGCAAGCAACTGAAAACTGGTATAAACTGTTATAAAAAGTCCAAGTTTCGAACCATTGATCTTGGAGTAAGCGAAGACTCAAACCAGATGTGACCATATTGTAAATTTTTTGGCTAAAATGTTGCTTAAATGCGCCTGGGCACACTGAAACTGACTTTGCATCAGTGATGCTAATCTATCTATTTTGTCCCAATAAAGAAATATAGCTAGATGAGCATCACTGCCATTAAGCCTGATATATTGCCTCCCAATATTGCAAAATAGCTACATGAGCATCACTGATGCAAAGTCTGATTTTATAGCCTCCCAATATTGCGATATAGCCAGATGAGCATCACTGCCATTAAGCCCGATTTTATAGCCTCCCAATATTGCAATATAGCTAGATGAGCATCACTGATGGAGATGAGCATCACTGATGCAAGTGAGCAAATTTTTTCATTCGATTTGGCCGCTTTCCAAACTGGGGTAACAGGCGAACAGAAACCAGCAGCAAGCAACTGAAAACGGGTTTAAACTGTTATAAAATGTCCAAGTTCCAAACCATTTAGGAGCCGGCGCAAGTTAGCGGAGACTCAAACCTTTTGAATCCAAATTTAGGTTTTATTTTACAACTGCACCTGGGCACACTGAAACTGATCGTCGTTAAATTTAAATTCAAATTTGGCAGTTAAATTCAAATTCAAATTTGGCAGTTAAATTCAAATTCAAATTTGGCAGTTAAAATATTTGAAAAAAAATTGTTTAATTCTAAAAAAATTCTTAAATAAATATACAAAATCTAAAAAATGTTAAAAATTCAGAAAAAAAAATTTTAAATTCAGAAAAATTTTAAAAATTTTGAACAATTTTTTAAAAAATTAAGAAGAATTGTAAAACATCCGAAAAAAATGTTTAAAATTCAGAAAACAAATTTAAAAATTTAGATTTTGCTTTCAAAATAATTAGATTTTTCCCCAAACGATCCCAAATAAATGCCGCCTTCACAAAAAAATTGCACATTGATTTCACCGTTTATAAATATTTTAATTATTTACGCCTACTGCAGGGTTTTAACTAGCCCGGAGCCAAGATCCGATCACCGTCCTCCACTGCCATCGGGTTGAGATCTGTCATCTCAGCTGCTCGCTCCTCCAGCTTCACCTCTGCCGATGAGGTGATCATCAATCAACAATTACAATGAACTTGATGAACTTGTGCTTCCCAGATCCCTGAGCACGCTCTCGTTTTCGCTATTGGAGTGCTGTAAATATAAGAAATAAAGCTATGTAAAATTAAATTAAATTATAGATAAGTTTTTAAGAAAAACTGAGTAAGCAGTTTTGGCTGAGTTATGAATTTTTGAACATTAGTTTTGTTCACAAAAATTATCAAAATAAACAGCACCCTTTTTATACCCTTGCAGGGTATTATAATTTCAGTCAGAAGTTTGCAACGCAGTGAAAGAAACGTTTCCGACCCCATAAACCATATATATTTTTAATCAGCATTAACATGCGAATCTTTCTAGACATGTCCGGAAGAAATCGATTTTTTGGCCATTTTTGCAAAATTTCATAAGGGGTTACATCATTAAAATTTTTGATTTTGATAAAAAATTGAATTTTCATAATTTTTAAATGAAGTATGCAGATTTATTAACTGTAGAAAATCTTGCACAGAAAAGTTTTCCGATTTAAAATTAACGCTCTTTTGGCCGAGTTATGATATTTTTAATTTTAAAAAAATCAAGAAGTTTTTTAATATAAAAAATGAGATTTTATAATACAAAATAATATTTTTCTAAGTCAAGGAATCATTTCCGACCCCATAAACCACATATATTCTTGATCAGCATTAACACGCGAATCTTTCTAGACATATCCGGAAGAAATCGATTTTTTTGTCATTTTTGCGAAATTTGATAAGGGGTCATTATCATCATTAAAATTAGCAAAAATGGCCAAAAATTTTGATATCTTAAAATTTTTAATTGGGTATGCAGTTTTTTTAAATTAATAAAAACTAACACAAAACTGCTTTCCGAATCGAAATTAATGCATTTTTGGCTTAGTTATGATATATTTTAATTGTTACCTGCCAGGGTATACAAACTTTGGCTGGCCAAAGTTAGCTTTCTTTCTTGTTTTATTTTGGCTTTTCCTGCAATGTACGAGTAATGCAGCATTAAAAGCTACAGAGTTTAGGTTTGGAACAACAACTACTGATTTTCTTTTTATTTTAAATTTATTTTTATCTTAACTAATTAACAAAGTAATAAGTAAATATTTATATTGATGTAGTATTTTTTTTTGCTTTGACTTACAGTACTACCAAATGCGAATCTTATTTCCATACACATTTATAAAAACCCTTTTATTTTAACAGATATTCAATTTGGTTTTAATTTTGAGGAACTATTTATATTCTTAATTCTAATCCTTAGTCTGAGAGTCACAGATTTGTGAATAATTTCAAAAATAAATGGAATTTAATCAACAAAGTTTTTGAACAACTGCAATTTTTGGCACATTCTACTGCAAATTTAAGGTTATTTTCCAAGTGTAAGCTCGAAATTGCTTGTTTAACTTCTTTTTAAATAAAATATTCAATGAAATCTAATAATAATTTCTAGATGTTAATAACTTTTTCATAACCAAAAACTGGAATTCGTTAATAAATTAACTTTTGTTTAGTTGGTGACGCTATCACTGGGTAACATTCTATCCTGAATTGGAACGGAAATTCAATCTAATATATCATATCATAACATATCTGTAATATTATTTTTAAGCTACGCCCCCCAATGATCATTGCCGTGGTCATATGGTGAGCTGCTTCCTCCGCTCCAGGCACAGCAGCCGGCGCCATTGCCATTCTGGCCCACGGAACTCTCCCTCAGCATGGCCTGCAGATGATTAATATAGTTGATGGCGATTCTAAAATAATAAAATAACTTAATTCCTGGCGCTCGAAAAAACTTTAACTTTCACACACGCACCTTAGGCTCTCGATTTTTGAGTACTTCTTTCCATTTGGTTTAGAAATGGGCAGCTTGGAGCGCAGCAAATCGAATGCTCGATTCATATCCCGCATCCTGGTCCTCTCCCGATCGCACGCGGTGCGTCTGTAGTCCTTCTCCATCTGCAAGGCTTTCTCCCGCCAGGCCGGATTGTGCTCCTTTGATATTTCCACCTCCGAGCTACTAGCCAGACTACTTCCACCTCCGCCTCCTCCACCGTAACTCATGTACATGGGGGGCGGCACCAGTTCACTGGGCTTGCTGCACTCCACCAGGCCCACGGGAGAGGCAGAAGGCACAGGCCCGGCGGCGTGCCACATCGACACGGGCTGGGGAATCACACTATAGGTGGGTGGGAGCAGACCCATGTTGTGTGGTGGCTCCTTATCGTAGCCACCGACCATCACCGACGGCGAATAATTGTGCGGATGGGCAGGCGCATAGGCCAGCATACCGCTTCCATCGGAGGTCAGGGTGTAGTTGAGACTGACTGCTGCTTGCGGAGCGCCCAGCTCGAGCAGCACCGGCTGCTCCGATGACTCTGCCTCACCCTCGGAGCCACCGCTGAGATAGGGTCCACCTGTAGAGGCTGGCAACGGCACTAGCACGGCGGGCGCATCCCCCGGAGCGGGAGCGGTGGCCGCGGAGCTCAGCAGTTGATCCGTCATCGCCTAAGCCGATTTGCGCTCTGTGACGAAAGTGCTGCTGGCTTGGGGTTTACCTGGACTGCGGCCGGACTTGGACTCGGACTCGCACTCAATTCTTATTTTTATTTTTAGTGCATTAGAGGCCGCCAATCGTGATGAATGGCTCACCATCGATCCGAGACGTGACTACTACCACTCAGCCGGGGACGATGAGGGCCTCATCTCTGCAGAGTCTAGAAGGGCCGGCCGCCTCTGTGTACGTGTGTCAACAGGTGATCTATAGGAGGTCTCTGTGGCTCTAAGGACCCTTTTGTCAGGTGCGCAAACAAAGCGGCTCAATTTCTCCGCTATTGTGCCATCGATACGATCCGATCCGACAACGAATGGCGATCGAGGCGCGTGTGGCAGGCTGGAGTTGCGTCTCCTCTCTGGGATCAGCGATCGACGTTTGCCGATCGTCGCCACAACTTCAGTTTTGAGTTTTTCTTCCACCGCTCTATATACAGAGCACCCACACTCGCGGGGCCAAGAGCACATAAGCAGCGTGTATTTTCGTCGCATGTAAACACAAGTGTTTTGACTTAATTAAAAAAAATACATATCCATATCCCCAGTTATGAATATATGGATATGGAGGTGAGAAAATAGAGTATAGCCTGGCTCTGACTGCAGTCAGGCAGCGCCTAAAGGTTTGCCCAAAATCTATTTTGAAATTAATTCTTTTTGAAAATTACCATTAAATTAAGCAAATTAATTATTAAAATTTTGAAATTAGGCATCTTGAACCCTTGCAGGATATTTTAATTGCAGTCAACAGTTTGCAACTCATTAAAGAAGTCATTTTCGACCCCATAAATCATATATATTCTTGATCAGCATCAAAAGGGTAATTTATCTACCATTGAAAAATTTTTCCATTAAAACGTAATGGTTTTTTGATTGGGTTATAATATCTTGAACTACGATTTTTACCAAAAAATGTCATATAAATATAAATATAAAATATAGATTTAACATTTCCAGTCTTCTAGAAGTTAAATATGATTTAATTTAGTGAAGGAATCACATGTATTCTTGATCAGAGTCTATCTAGCCGTGTCCTTCTGCTCGTTTTTACTTAATTTTTAATAATTTAAAAATTAAAAAAAAAAATTAATAAAATAGGTATACATTTTCTTTACCTCATTAAAAAAAAAAACAATTTTACAATAAAATGTTAAGTATATTAAGTTCACATTCAAAATCAGTATATACAAATTTCAAAATAAGTTTTGAGATTTTAAATAATTAATGAATAGTTTAATTTAAATATTTCAATTTAAAAATCTTTATAAAAGTATTCTAAAAATTGAGAGTAAATTTTTATACAAATAAACATTTTTTATTTAGATCAAGAATACTCAGTTATTTCTTAATATTTATTACAAGCTAAAATAAAATTATTATTTATAACAAAAGACAAATGTTGTTTTTAATCCCTACCGATTTCAATTATAAATATTTCCTTTTTAAATGATCTACAAAAGAGTTTTGACTCATATTTGGGATCACGTCTCGCTCTACAATTCCGCCAACTAAAGTGAATCCATCGGGAAACCCAATTCATAGGCAAGGCGTCGGATTACCAGCAAACACACCATTGGAAATGGCAAATTACTTACATTTTTGCGAGGCCGAAATCTATTTTGTTAGCTGGTTTACCAGAATCCGAGAATCGGAAACTAATATGTGCCAAGTTCCGCGTAGAGAAACAGAGAGAAAACCCCAATAGACTTGTTTCGCTCAGCGACTCTCCTTGGGCGGAGGTGTCGAGTGGCAGCCTGAGAAAAGTTTGTAGCGCTTTTTACAACTCCTGGAATGTGGGTCACTGTGGCTGCGATTGCGAATCGAAGGCATATTTATTGTTTCAGCTTTATAAAAAATAAACACCGTTTGTGTAAAATATTAAAATAAATAGCGAGTACAACGATGCATTAAGTGGGTGCCATCCGGGCTCAGAGCCACGGCATAGATCAATTCATTAGAGCTATGTACATAGGAGTCCCTGCTGAACTAATCGCACTTAGTTCGATTTAAGCGACAGAGTAAAGTTAATCGTTGTCAAGAAAATGCCGGCGGTCACTTCAACTCCATTAGAGTTTTAACTGCCAAAGTTCAGGGGTCGCAGCTCAAAGTACTTGTCCAGTACTTCGTCCGTTATCAGCTTGCGGGCTGCCTGGTGCTGCTCCACAATGGGTGTGAGAGTCTGCCAAAAGGAAGGGGATTTAGATTTAATTCAGGATATCCCAAAAACTACCCGTATTGCCAAACTTACCTCCACGGCCAGCTTCTTGATCTCGCCCGTAAGCAGCTCACCCTTGCTGTAGGCCACACGCACCTCCTCCAGCTTAGCATCATCCTCCAGGAAGAATTTCAGCAACTGATAGGATACATCAACCTCCGGCACACCGCCCAGCTTGCGGTGCTCCTCCACGGTGGCGCGACCACCGGAGAAGGCGTACTTATTGATCTTGTTCTTGATCTGCTTGGGCGTGTCAGTGAGATAAACAGCCGAGTTCTGGTCACTAGCCGACATCTTCGTTTTGGCACCCTGCAGCGCCGGGAAGAAGGTCGAGTGGATAAGCGCACACTTGGGGAATCCAAGGCGCGGGGCAACGTCGCGTGTCATGCGGAAGTACGGATCCTGGTCAATGGCGCACGGGATGAGGCAGTGCACCTTCTTGTTTCCGAACAGGAAGGGAAAGGTGCTGGAGATGGCAGGAGCTGCTTGGGCGGCTGGAAAGCCGATCTTGCCAATAATATCCGAGTCGCCGAAACCGAAAATTCCCTTCACCTGGTTAAAGGTAACGCACTTTTGGATGCGTATAATGTTCTGGTACATGGCGGGACATTTTCTGAAATATAAATTGTATATTTTATAAATTGAATATCAATACCATGTGGGAAAACCCTACCCCATAAATTCCAGGTTATTGAATATGAACGTCTTGTTGACGTCAAAGCCCATGGCCACAATATCCTTGGCATTCTCGCGCGCCAGCTTAATGGCGTCCTCCACCTTCAGGTCCTTCCACAAAGTCTTCTCATCGTCAGTCAGTTGGACGACCAACGGCACATCGAACGTCTCCTGCAGCCACTTGGTCATTATGAAGGGCACCAAATGGCCCACGTGCAGGGAACCAGAACTGGGACCGCGACCCGTGTACAGATAGAAGGGTTTGCCCTGTTCCCGCAGGGTGAGGATGGTGTGCAGATCGCGGTGCGAGAAGAACATGCCGCGCCTGATCAGGTGGTGAGCGGGCTTCCCCGTGATTTTCTCAAAGCGTGCGATAAGCTCATCATCGATTTTGCTTGAGCCAAAGCGTTCTGCAACGTGTCAAAATTGGAGATAAAGATTAGGTCAGAGGAATCAGTGTGGTGCCTCATAAGGAAACTCTGTTCCTGTGCCCTGTTCCGTCCACTTACTTATCAGCTTATCGTAGTCGACGCCCGCGTCGTTGCTGCTGGCCACATTCCACGGATCCACAACATCTTCGGCTGCGGCAGCGGCTCCATCACCCGCTGCCTCCTGCGCCTGGGCGTCTGTGCCAGTTTCCACCGGTTCCGCGTCAGGTTTTCCATTCAGCGTGAGCGCCTCCACGCCCTCCACCACCGTCTCCTTAGTGTCCGCCATTGGTTTAGTCTTAATTCAATTGTTTAACAAATAATTTAATACTGGCTAAATTTTTGCCTTCACATGTGAAATGCTCCACTCCGATATACTTATCGATAACAACCGCAATCGGTGGGGGACTAATGTTTTTAAAAAGCGACAACTCTAAAAATCAGCTGTTGCATTGCAGCTCGAATTGTGGGTGAAAAAAATGCACAAAGTTTGATTGTTATTTTTCCGTCTATCCTGGGCAATTATAAACTAAGACACCATGCCTATCATGTACAACACGGGCGAGTGGTTCAAGGTGCGGCCGGACTACTATAGGTGAGAGAATTACCCAGCCTTTGGAGGGATAAAGCACAGTTAGGGAAACGCCCACCAACCCACTTTTCCGTTTGCAGAAAAGTGGAACTAGCTACGCCCGATTGGCCCATTGATCTGGACTTGGAGTACATGCTGGTGGAGGCAGCCCCCTATGGTGGTCCCATCGCCACCACCCGTGATCCCACCAAGCTGGTGCCGGTGAAGGGAAGCGCAAGACCAATGATCCGCATCTTTGACACCACCGGCCGGGAGACGGGTCACATATTGGTGAGTTTTTAAGCCTCCAGAAGTAAAGTCTCGGATATAACATCAAATCTGTAATAGTGGAACCACGGCAAACTGATTGCCATGGGCTGGTCGGACACAGAGGAGCTGATCTGCGTCCAGGAGAACGCCACTGTCTTTGTTTACGACATGTTTGGCCACGAAAAGGAGACCTACAGTATTGGCGACGAGGCCAGCGTAACCAAGATTGTGGAGGCCAAGGTGTTCCAGTCCACAGCTGGCACAGGAGTGGCAGTCATGACCACATCCGGTCGCATCTTTCTTAAGCAAAACAGCACCAAGGCTGAGCGGAAGCTGCCGGATATTCCCAGTAAGTTGTTAACTATGAAAAGCACGAATCTCAATCTAATTTAAATTCCCGACAGACTCCAGTATGAACTGCTCCTGCTGGGATATCATAACAGAGGGCCGCAACAGTTATTGTCTGCTGGGCAGGGACAAAGAAGTAATTAAGCTGTTTCCCGGTGAAACAGTGGGCACCATCACCGCCAATCTGTTTGAGAAGCCACACGAGCGAATCATCAAGATCTCTGTGTCGTACAACCATCAGCACTTGGCTCTGTACACCAACACTGGCCTCCTGTGGCTGGGAAGCGTCGATATGCGGCAGAAGTACTGTGAATTCGATACCGGCCGCAAGGATATGCCCCTTCAAATGGAGTGGATCATGAACACGGATAACACCGAAGCGGATGCAGTGGTCATCTCCTATCCCTCGTATCTCTTAATCGTAAATCGGAATGCTGATCGCAGCGATTTCCCCTACGATCCGGTCATGTTTCTGGTGGCCGAAATGGATGGCGTGCGCATTATCACCCAGAGTTCGCACGAGATGATTCAGCGCCTGCCGAAGTGCGTGGAGAATATCTTTGCTGTGAATAGCCAAGAACCGGCCAGCTATCTGTTTGAGGCACAGAAGAAGTTTGAGGAGAGCTCCTACAAGTCGGATGAGTATCTCAGCATGTGTCGCGAGAAGATTGATTTGGCGGTGACAGAGTGCATTGAGGCGGCCTCCTATGAGTTTTGTCCGGAGACCCAAAAGAGTTTGCTTAGGGTGAGTTAATTATCATACAAAACAAGGTATCCTTATATACATATATGGTTTATAAGGTCGGAAATTGCTTCTCTTACATTCGAAATATTTTGTTTTAAATTTTAGACAGCTAACTTCGGTAAAGGTTTTATATTCGGCCACAATCCTGACGAATATATGCGCATTATGAGGATACTGAGGGTCCTCAACACCCTGAGACATGAACGGATTGCCATGCCGCTTACTTTCAAGCAGTAAGTTTCAATTAAATGAATGTTGAATGAATGAAACATTATTAACCAATAGGTTTTTTTGCGTTAAACAGGTTCTCACATCTCAATCCTGAGGTGATACTGAGTCGTTTGGTGTTCCGCAAGCACTATGCTGTTGCTATCCAAGTGGCCAAGCATTTAAATCTGCCCGAATCCTGGATTTTGGAGCACTGGGCCTACCACAAGGTGATCAACGATCCCAGTGAGTTGAGATAATCCTTATATAGTTCTTAGCACCCATTAGATGACTGTTTGATATTTCCAGATGACATTGAAGTGGCGCGCAAAATAACCGAAAAATTCAAGAATCCTTCTGTGGAGGGCATTTCCTTTTGCAATATAGCAGCGAAAGCCCATCAGGCTGGGAGGGATGACCTGGCCATCAAGCTATTGGAACTAGAGCCACGGGCTTCGCTTCATGTCCCCCTGCTGTTGAAAATGCGCAAGTTCGATCGGGCTGTGGGCAGTGCTACGCAGTCGGGAGACACAGAACTCATCACGCGTGTGCTATTGGAGATGAAGATGCACATGATGTTGTCCAATTTGCATGTATGTAATAGATCTTTTGGAAGTTTCAAAAAATACATGACTTTCCCCCTGCAGATGACCATTAGGGATCATCCACTGGCCTTAAATATGTACAAGAAGATCATGAGGGAATCAAATAGAGCTGGTCTCTATGGCATCTATAATACCGAAGACGACCAGAAGGCCATTGCCGAGTATCATTTCCAGAATGCCATCGAGAGTGAAGGGCTAGAGTCGAATCTTTCCCTGATTGGGAATGCCTATGCCGCCGGACGATGCACACTGGAGGCGGAGCTTTGTGCCGATACTGGTAGATTGCTAAAACTCCAAAAAACTCTAAGCACCAAGTACAATGCCAGCTTAAACGGTTTGTCCGTTCATGACACCATTCTGGGATTGCTGCAGATCGGCGAGTTGAAGGAGGCGGAGCGCATCAGGAGCGATTTCAAGGTGCCCGAGCGACGATTCTGGTGGCTGCGAATCCTCACTCTCTCCGAGCACCACAAGTGGGAGGAGCTGGAGAAGCTGGCCAAGAGCAAGAAGAGTCCCATTGGCTACGATCCCTTTGTGGAGGTCTGTTTAAAGCAGGGCAATGCTAGTGAGGCGCTTAAATACATCCCAAGGTGTCGGGACAACCGCAAGGTGCACTGGTTCATTCGGGCAAAGTAAGTGAAGATTAGATTAGAAAAAGGATTCAAAGAAGGAATAATCAAATCATTTATACATTTTCCTTAGCTTCCTGAACGAGGCCATAGATTGCGCCTTCGAGCAGCGAGACGTGCACAGTCTCTACGAATTGCAGAAGAAGGAGGGTGTGGTCAGCGATCGCACTTTGCTCGGCAAAGTATGCAACTATATCTCCATGTTGGAGATGAGAAAGTAGTCGCGACATTCCTATTTATAGGCGAAAAATGAATATAATAAAAACTATTTATTGATGTCTATATTCCTATTAAAGAATTGTAGATTTTGCCTATTGCCTATCCAATTTAGCTTGTGGGAATTACAACTTTCAAGTAAGTAACATTTTTTAGGATCAGAAATACCATTGGAGAACCCTTTAAATCATGATCCGGCATGTTTATTTTGTTTTTGTAAGCAAAGTTTATATTTTAAATGATTTTTGAATGTCACCCAACTCCAAATAAATTCAATTAGCTTCAATTAAGTTTGTTTTTAAAGGACATTTTATTATACATATGTATATGTAGTATGTAATAGATCACATAAAGCAAAAAGAGAATATTTTACTACATTTTTTGTTTGTTTTTATGTTGTTGTTGATGATGTTTTTTTTTTTTTTTTTTTTGTGGCTTGGCAAATCCCTTTCGAGCCATGTGTAAAGGATAAGTTGATTTGATGTCGATGATGATGATGGGTAATGTTTAAACTTTAGTTAATTCTCTACTATAATTACGATTTTAGTAAATTACAATTACAATACATTATATATATATATATAGTACATAGTTGTATGTAGGTAGGTAGAGATGAATAAATTAACTATTCATTTAAATTTTTTATTCATTTTCTGGTTTTTATTATTACTTTTTTTGTTTTGTATTTAAAAAGTTATTTCAGTTATTAATTTTTTATGGGTTTGTGTATGTGGTTTTGTTTTTTGTTAAATTTACATACATATATTAAATATATTTACGAACATAACAGCAGTCTTATATAAGATGACATACTCAATTTATTGTTTTCATTTAGAGGGGTTCTTTTTTGGGTTTGAGTTCATTATCCGTGTTGAAAGTCTGAATGGGGGAGGCTTCGGTGAACCGAGGACGTGTCTAGTGGCTTTCGATACCGTCTATATAAAAGTTGTTTGGCTAAACTAGGGCGATCCGTTGGGAGTCGCTTAAGCGTGAGGTCTTAAAGATATTGTATTTAGATGTACATATAAGTAGGCATCGGTATCTATGTAGGTGTGTCTCTATATTCTATTAGGGATAGTTTTAGTATTAGTTCTATTTTGTTTAGTTGCGGTTAATTTTTAAGACGCTGGGCGTCTGCGAAATGCGCTCTGAAAATGTTCCTATCTTTCTTTATATTTCATTTTGTTTTGGCGGCTGACTAAATTGATGTACGATTTGATGTATGTATGTATACTTGATGTAAATATATATCGTATCTTGAATGCTTAAGGAACCCGATACGGCGAATTGTGAGAGGCATGCAAGGAAATACAATCATCGGGAGTATGCTCAAATATATATATATAATCTTGTATTATTTATCGTATATTTGTTGTATTTGTTTTTTGGGGACTTTACACACTTAGGGACGTTTGAAAAACATTAAAAACTAACCAATTACAATTACAATACACATGCACTTGGACACACACTCACACAGCTACAGACACAGTTGTATATATAAATAATATATAATAAATTTATAATTATAATACTATAACTACTTTAGAGTTATTGGTGGATCCTAAGCGCTGAAACGCTCCTGGCCGACGGTTCGGTTCGTTTCGGCCCCGTGGGCTTTTCCCACAAAAATTTTCAACTAACTAGAGTTTCGGGTTTTGAAATATTCGATTCGACATTCAATTTATAAATTTCTGCATCTGCTCTTTATATTTTCAATTTACAATTTTGCTACTTCCATTCGGGTTTATCCACTGTTGTTGTTGATCTCTGGCAGCCAATAATTTATGACTTTTGAATTTGAATAAGTGATTTAACTGGTTGGGGGAAGGCCCCAATGCTTTGATTTCACTGAAATTGTACAGGGGAAAGTTTGTCAAGTTATAGAAGCTTATATGTTGCCGGTGATTCCCCCCGCCAACCAGTTCTTTCGCGTGAAAATGATAAATTTAATTTAACTACAATAATGACTAGTTGAAGAGCGAGCTTCAAATATATATATTTACTACTTTTTCCGTGTTTCTTACTTAATTCTTTTTCTCAATTTTTTTTGTATGTATTGTTAATTTTGTTGTTGTTTTATAATTATAAAATTATCTAAAGCTAATACAGAGAAGCTTTTCTATGCTGGCCAATGTATATTTACAATAAACGTAATGGTTGAAGAATTTCCATCTTGAAATTGTTGAGATTAAGTTTTGGGCATTGTGTTGATTTTGTAATTCTTGTGGATGTGATTTTTTAATAGTTGCGAAATGCATGGAATTTGTTTTTATCATTTTGTTGTATTATAAAATATTGTTGGTATTATTATTATTATTCTATTTCTTTTGCATTTATTTTGGAAGCCAAATGGAAATTCTTGCTTCTTGTTTGTTTTGGAAAACTTCTCTAAAGATTTTTAGCTTCTACTTTCACTTCCTCTTACTGCCTTCTGCTTCTGCATCCTTTTCCCATCTGCCTTATTAGCGAATCCTCTTGCTCCGCCTCTCGTCCGGTTTGTTAGTCAGTTTAGTTACTACTTCATCACAGCCAACTCTCTTTTGCCATCAGCGGCGCCCAGCGATCCGCTCATCTCACCTCACCGCCAGCATCTCTCTCGTCTTCGTTACGGATCAGTTGATCGTTTTCTTGTACAGATTGTGGTGTATGTGCTCGTTCTGCAACGCGCACATTTGGCCCACAGCAACCGCCCGCAAGCCACCGCCGCCACCTGATCCTCCAGAAATGCTCACATCCGATGGACTGCAATCGACTCCCGTTGGACTCGTTTTGGCGGCTCGCAGGTTGGAGAAGAACTTCTCCTTGATGGCCAGCGCCGAATACTTGTGCTCAATAAAGGTCGGTGAGATCTGCATGGGGGTGGTGATGCAACTGGCTGATGCTGGTGGCGGTGGCTTGGCAGGAGTCGTTGCTGAAGACCTCTTGGCGGTTGACAGAACCGTAAGCGTTGGCTTGCTGGAATCGCTGCTGTGGTTGCTGTTCGCGTTGCCGCTGAGGTTGCTGTTCTGTGAGCAGGAGTAAGAGGTTTCTGCAATAAGTAGAGAGAAAAGGAAAAGAAGTAACGAAAAAACATAAAATCAAAATAAAAAAACAAAACGTTAAACCCAAAAGTTTGTACAGAGAGGGAGAGAGAGATGTAAAATTGTAGAAAACTAATCCATAATCAAGGGAAATTATATATTGCACCGTTGTCGTCGTCGTCTTAAACTTAATGTAGATGCGAGTGGGTATATATCGTAAGTATATATCGTACAATTAAATTCAATTTACTAAGGCTTAGAACATAAATAATACTTGGTTGTTTAGTTTAGAATACAAATACGAATAGTACACTAAGGCTAGAGCCGGAGAGCTGAGATTAATCAAGTTGTAATTGATAGTTGGTTATAATAATAATAAAAGTGATCGCTTGGAAATGAATTTGAAGTGTGCACTTGCTGCATATTTATTACAATTGTTGATCGCGTTTCGTTTTATTTATAGTCTAATTAAATTAAGAGGAGATCAGCCGTTGTAAATAGTTTAATACAAGCATGATGATAGTCATACATACAAATTATAGTGATTAATTCTCTCGTTAAATTATACAAAATTTTACATATTGCACAATCAGTGCAGTGATTGCATGTGTGTGTCTGTGTGTAGTCGAGTTATATGATACAATTTTGTTTAAAATTAAAACACAACTTAAGTTCCTGGTCTCTAAGCAAGTAAGCAGTCTACGGAAATCTTTCCAAAAATGGTTCTTTTGGTGAGTGAGTGAAGGTCTGACGACTTGGCGGCGCCCCCTCCCTCTAAGCTTTAGCATTCTGCCGAGTCAAGAATGCAAGTTTTGCGTGCCCCCTTCTCCTCGCTAAGTAGGCTTGGGCGGCGACTCCTGGCCAGTCAGCTTTCGGTGCATCAATAGCTGCTTGAGTATAGGCTACGTCTCTTCGTTAACGGCGCCCGCGCCTACAACTTCAATGCCCGCTACTGTTACCGATGCTGCTGCCACTCCGATTTCCTCTTTACTCTCCGTTATGCTGGCAATTGCCGCCGCCACGCTCTCTGAAATGCCATCGCTCTGCCCATCCGTGTCCGTATCCATGGGCTCCACCAGTTCCACCAGCTTGCCTTTCTTTAACAGCAGCTGTTGCTGTTGCTGGGGCGTGGGCGAGCTGCTTTTGCTACTGTTGCCGCTGATGCTGCTCGTAGGGCTGATGGGTAACACATGGTGCTGTTGCTGCTGCTGCACCTGCTGATGCTGCTGCTGCTGCTGATGCTGAGCCTGCTGCAGTAACTGGCTCGGAGTTGTGGGCTCCTGCAGCAGCAGTATGTTGGTCTTCTTGGCTAGCGAGGCCACCAGAGCTTGCTGCTGCTGGGTACTGTTCCCATTGGTGGTGGTGGTGAAGGTCAGCGTCTGTGTGTTTTTGGTGGGCGAAGTAGCCGGCGTAAGAATGCCCAAGTTTACCAAATTGGGCATCTGTTTGTTGCCGTTGAGAATGGTTTGTCCATTGGTTATCTTGTTGCTACCGTTGTGCTGCTGCTGCTGCAATTGTTGCTGCTGCACAATGTCCAATGCTGTGGAGGCACCATTGGCCACATTGGTGGCCAGCTTGAGTATCTTGCTGGCCGTTGCATTGGCTGCCATTAAATTGCTAACCGACTTGGCAGTCGGCGTGTTGTTGCCATTATTGTGATTGTTGCTGGCTTTAATGGATACTAAACCGAGTGTGCTGCGCATTAAATTGTTGTTGCTGTTACCTGTTGCAGTGCCGCCGTTCTGTTGGAGCTGCTGCTGCTGCTGTTGCTGGTGTTGCTGCGGCTGGGTGGGAAGATTGGTCAGCGTGACCACGTTCCCGGCGCTGAGCTGCTGCAGCACATTGCCATTGCCGCCGGTCACAAGCGCTGCTGTGTTGCTGGTGGTGCTGCTGCTGTTGCCATTGTTGTTGTTGTTGGAGAGGCTGCTACTGCCGCCGTGGCAACTGCTGGCGCTGCTCGACATGTTGCTAATGCTTGAGGGGCTTAGCGAGCCCAGCGATTGCGACGGCGAGTTGCTGCGCTGAATAACTGGCGGCGGGGGATTGGAGTTATTGCTGTTGCTTTGGCTGCCACCCAAGGGGGCAGTTCCAGCGGCTGCTGCCGTTTCCAAGGCAGTGGCCATCAGCTGGGCATTCAGCACACTCTCCGGCTGCGAGTTGTGCGTGTGTAAAGCATGATTCTTCAGGCCCTGGGCCGTCTTGTAGCTCTTGCCGCAGTGACACTTGTAACCCTTGCGCACTCTGTGGGAAGTCGAGCTATTAGTTTAACATTTCCGTTTAACATTAAAAAAAAAAAAAAAACAATATAGGCAATGTTTGCTTACCTTCCGTCCTTTTTGTGGCCATTCTTTGAATGATACTTGATGCCGTTGACGTTTTTATAACGCTTCTTGCATCCAGGAACAGGGCAGGCGAAGGGTTTCTCATTGCCAGGCGTGCCGTTGCTTCCGCCACCGGAATGCCTGCATAATTTAAATAAATTTAGCAACGAGCAACTATAGTAAACTATAGTAATAATACCTGCTGCCATAGCGCATGATGAACTCGGAGCTGAACTCTTCGGTGGTCCACGAGTCGTTGCTATCCTCTGACTCTGTGACCACCATTTCATCCTCGTCCATTTCACTGCCTGCAGAGACAAGGGCAAATCAAAGAATTGAGTACTGGCTGATCAATATGGTTTAATTTGATCAGGGAGCATACCTGTGGGCGTTGTGCTGCGGTTGGACGAGGACATGCTGTAGCTGTGGTGCTTGATGGCCAGCTTACGCTTGAGCTCCACATTATTGCCGGTTCCATGGCCGGTGTTGTTGGAGCCGCTATTGGTGGTCGGTGGGGCGGTGTTGCTATTGTTGCTGGCCAGATAGTTGCCCGCCGCAGCCGCCTCCTTGCGGTTCTCCTCGGTGATGAAGCGCAGGACATAGCTTAGGGGCAGGCAGGCAGGCTGGGCCTGTTCCTTCTGTTCGACCACCTTTGGATCATAGTCTAGAAAGATTACCAGACATAGGTTAGTTATTATTGTGCAAGTATCTACCTAACTAATGCTAGGTCAATGTATGGAATTAATTATCAATTATAAAAGTCAGAGTTATTTGGAGATAATTATTGCAAATGAAATATGTATGTATGTATTATTCATAAAATTCCAAATCCCCATTGTTATTATTCCCAAACGAAACTGGATTCAATTACGGGACACGCCTGTCTAAATAGAGACAGAAACGGGATTGACTAATTAAAAATTCCCTTTGGCATAGGACACAGAGAATCCGAACCGGAATGCGGGCTACCAGAAAACCTGCATCCCAGACGAAATTCGTTTGCAAGCGTGCTGTGTTTGCACTGGAACAAGTTCAGAGACATTCGGCGGAGAACACAGTGAATACCAGGCCAGACCAGACCAGAGACAGCGACCCACAGGCCGGGCAATTTATTATTAAAATGTCGAAATAAGTAAATAAGCGAGAGTGCACGTAGGGGATATTTTATGGCGGTGAATTTAGTGCGCCTGCTGACGCATTTTCCCTGGGTTTTTTCGAGGGTTATGCGGGGGAGTACTCGTGGCAGGAGCACATGGCACTCTGTGCAACCATCGTGTGGACACTATCTTATCGCCAAAGCAAGCATAATAACAGGTGCTCCCCTTTTCTACGTCTTTATTTACTCTTTGGTCTGTGTGAGTGTGTGTTTGCAGCAACCTAACCTCCATAAGCAGACAGCGAGCGGAGCACGCTTTATTTCTCAATTAAATCATTTTGGTGCGTAACTGTGTCAGCCGACCATTCATCATCATCTGCGACACGGAGCACCCTATGGTCGGCGAATGTCACCCGGTTGCCGTAACCAGTTAACGGACGGCTGCTAAACGAATAATTAACATCCATCGATCAGCGGCTCTCTTAAATTGATGCTTCCCACTCGTCATTTGTGGCAAGTTCTTCACTTACTTTAATTCTAAACTCAAACAGAAGAACAAGTCCATCACAAGACTATAATTAATATAAATGGCAAGCCTAATAAAACAGTTAATACAAGCTTAAGGCTTTGTTTTGTAACTTTGGATTAATAATATTTCGATTCGCGTTACAGAAACATGATTTTTTTTAACAAGGTTTGCATTAAGGTTTCTTCTCATTCTTCCTACAGATCCTACGAACAATCTTGGTTTAAAATGTATTGCATTTTCGGTAGCTAAATCCCACGCAAACGATAACAGTTAGATAAAGTTGCACTTTAATTGCTTCTATTCAATACGATTCGTATCTCGTATTGGTGTGCAAATAGAAAACATATGCCGCAAATTGGTTATTATGCCAAACATATGCTTTCATTTAGCCCGCTGCTCCTTTTGGCACACATTACTGTGCTGCTTATCAGGGCGAAATGCGATTAAAAACATTTGCGGCAATGATTGCGGTGGTGGTGATGGTGATGTCTACGTGCCGTCCAATCGATTGATGATGACACATACGGACATGCACATATACGAATTATGAGTGCGTAGTGCCCTGAGTATTATGTGCGTAATATTTCCACGTACTCTATCGAGTATGGTGCACTTATTTGCCTTGAAAATTCGCAGTTGTAAGTCGCAGCAGCACACATTCTTTTCTGATGATTAAATAGACTTATACTTGCGAGCACGGCGCCATTTGTTAACGGTCAAATCAGTTCACTCAATTCTGGTAATTTTTTTGTATTTTTATTCTCAGATCCGCCTTCATATTATTGTTATTATTTTGTTGGTGATAACCCGAAGTGCCTCTCTCTCTCTCTCCCTCTCTGTAGGTGACACTTTCCGCTGTCTCGATGTTTGTGTGTTTATCAAATCGAGTATTTTACAAACAACTTTTAAACAAACAGCATCTAGCTACATACATATGTATATACACATATATACTGCCTGCCCGCTGAGTGTATATCATACGGTTTTTGTATTTCAAAAACAAAATAAACGCAGATCCCTCTCTCTTTTTCGCACTTGTGACTCATGTGCACTTGTTGCAGAACTCGGAAAGATAACACTTGTCTTTCGCCTGAACATGCGGTTTCAGTTTGTATTTTATTTTATTTCACCGGCAGCTGTCGCAAAAACTTTCCAATAGCTGCATAAAGCATTCCAAGTTTGAAATTTGATAAATACCAAGTCGTTGACTGCTGTGAATTTATGTTGACATTGTAAGTGCAGGGACACCTAGTTTTGTTTTAACCCCTATATGCTGCACTCTTATCGCATGCATTCTATTTAGATAGCATTTTATAAATATTTTTTTTTTTTTTATATAAAGAAAATCTTATTCAATGCTAAAAATAAAGCAGTAGAAAAATTCCCGGAATTTAGAGCCTAATCACAAAATCCCCATAAATTCTATTGATACAATGTTTATAAATTAAATACGGTTGCTTTTTCAGAGTTCTTGAAGTATATAGTCCAAGACAACGTCAAGATATTAGGACCCTAAAACCCCGAGATCGTATAATATCAAATATTCCTTATATTATCCTTCCTATATATCCCTTATTCTGGTTTCATTCATTTCCTAAATTAATGGGTTAACTAAGTTTTACCGCGTTTCGAAACGCAAGTGCAGTAGAGACACGCGCTCACGCATACATGGGTACTGGCACACACACTGGGAAATTCGGGACACACAACAGGTGCCTGGCAACTGTGAAAAGGACAAACCTGAAGGTCTTGCCCGCTTTTTTTCGAGCTGCCATGACAACCGAAACGTAACGAAGACAACGCCCAGAGCGGCGGCATGATAAGGAGACGTACATCCAGCCATATCCATTTAGAGCCCGGCCCACGCATCGAGTGTCCTTCGAGATAATGAAATGATGGGCAGCAGCTCGCTCACGTAATGGTTACGGATATGGCTACACGCATACGGGGATGCGGGTATTGGGGTTCCCAGCTCGTTATGGGTGGCTTTTTTGGGGGTGGCACTCAGCACAGTTGCCGTGTGGGCGTATGCTCGAGCTTCGCTTCGGCTTTATGTAATGCCGCAGCCCCTGGGCAAAAGGGGGTGGTGCAGGGTAGAAAGCAAGCCTGCCCGGGCAGCCGCCATTGCTGCGACGGTGTGTGTGTGTGTGTTGACCGTTATCACGCAGCAGTGCGGCAACAACAAAACAGCTGCCAACGTAACTGTAACCGAGTCAGCTGAGCCACCCCTACACTCGCCTGTCTCACCCTCTCGACATGCGTTAGAACGGGAACAAGTGCGAGAGAGATGTACATAGACGCACTGCTCAGGCTGAACATAAATAAAGCCCCGTTAACCATTAAACCACCCCAAACCCCAACCCCCTTTCTGTAATGTGGCAGCACTGGGCTTAAATTTATTGATTTTACCTCCCTGGAAACCCCAGGTGCTAAAATTAGAAATTGTTTATTTCAGCCGGTAAAAGTCCACTCGCACACATGCATGCACTCGAAATGATTAATTGGGGAGAGCCTCAAAGTCACGTGGACAGGGATTTAAAAAGAAACAATATCGATTATGCGGGGGTGGCAGCCGAGGCAGCCGTGCAAACTGGAGCGCGTCTCCAGCTCCAGTTACCGGATACGGACCCCTTTCTACCTATCGGATACGTGTACACCTGTCTCGCAACGCGAAAACTAAAACCCAAGCCAAGCCATGCGGACAGGTCAAAAAAAGGGCGCTCAACTCGCCGGTTCCATAGTACAACAACAGCCGCAACAACAACAAGATGCTGTGTTGGCCTCACTCATACACACACAGGCACAACATTGAATGGATCACCGGCTTTTTGCTCGCTTTGTTTTGCTTATGCTGCCTTCTCGCTCGCACCCGCACCTTCCAGCGGACAGATCGTCGAATGCTGTACGCGCTTGGAAGTTGGGCGTGTGTTGTGAGCTCGGTGTGCGTGTGTGTGCGCGAGCACAGGTAGGCGCTGCCCGACGCCCGCCTATTGAGTATGCTGCATCGATTTTTAGAAGCCATTCGAATTGCCATTAATGAGCTCCAACAACTGTTCGTTCTAGCCGCCTGCTGGCCGTGCAAACTGCAATTCATCCAATAAAAACAACATTCAATTCACCACGAAGCCACTCACGCACTCACACTTTCAAACACACGCACACACCGTCCATTCGGTTATTTATGCCGCCACATACGTGTGTTCGTATAGAAGGGTAAATAAATAGAATAAACAAAACACACCGACCGACCGACATCACGCGACGGGAAAATGATTAGGAAACTGCAGTCTGCGTACCTATGTGGGTGTCCTCGATGTGTGATATCAGATCGCCCAAGCTTGGAAATGTGATGCCGCAGCCATTGTACTTGCAGACGTTGATCAGGAACACGGCCATATCACCGAAACGAATGTGACTGCGATATAGGTTTGTAGTTATGTAAAATTGTTCGGGGAATACTGTTGTTGTTGCTGGTGGTGGCAGTGCGCGCGCCTATCGAGTGCACCCCTATCGATAGTCAGCAGAACTGCATGCTGGCGATTTATCGGCCCCTGGATGCGGATGTGGTCAACTTTTATTTAATCCAATCCAAACCGGCTTATCCTTAAATGCAGCGAAAATCGAAATCCAGTGCCTTGCGGTGCCTTTCGTTGTTGCTGTCCTTTCGCCGCGCTGCTGCTGCTGCGTGGTGTGGTGTGTTTCGGTCTCAAGCGTGCCCCACACACACACACACTCATGCGCAAGTGCTGTTATGCAATTGAGGGCTGCAACGATAGAGGGGGGCGGCGTGGCCGGGGCGTGGGCACTTTAGACGGGATCGGAGGATACTTGGGCAAGATTGTTGGGCGGTACTCACAGCATTCTGGGCTTCAATTGAGTTCGCATTTGCGGGTAATTAGAACATTGCCGAACCGACGTGACGTAGACTCCAACGACACGACGCTGCGCTGCGGCTGTAGTTGTGTGGGTCGGCGTGGTGAGTAGGCCAGAAACGGGCCATCACCAGGGCTGCGGCATCCGGGCAATTGGGCAATCGATAAGATGAAATGTATTACAAAAATTCTCTTTTTATTTTAATCAGTTGAAAGAACTTGTATTACCAGAATCTACTCTTGCTCAACTACTCGGTGTTCAAAATTTCAATATTTTCAAATTTTCGCGCCAAGCTAGCCGAATCAACTCTTTGACTGGTAAAAAACTCCACTCTAGCGGTTTGACATCAATAATTTTTGTCTTAAATTTATTTAGATTGAAAGTAAGTCTCCTATCCTGAAAAATTAGTAATTTGCACAACTTGCGAAGACTTAAAAACGCTACTTTATGTGTGGTAGGAGACCCGGAACCGGCACCAACTTTCAAGCTTCCAGTTCACCACGAAAGTAAGTGGTCTGAATTATTGCGGAAAGTGCAAAGCTCTTGATGATTATAAAGGTAAAATGCTTTAAGATGATAGTAATTTAGCAGTAATAATTTAAAATAGTAAACCTAGAACCCGATAAAGCCGGTGCCCGCTTACTCTTTCAATTCGCCACACCTCTTTTGTTATTTTTGCTATGCATTTATTATTATTTTGGATAAATTCAATTAACTCAACTAAGTGTGTAATAATTCTAAAAGAAGTCGGCTGTACGTTAAATTTTATATTTGGAAATATAAAGCTATCGATATATTTGTATTTGAATAATAAAAATTTATTGCTCTACAGCTGTAAAAACATCGATAGTGCCCTCACTGGATGTTTTCGATAGGGATAGTATTTTTTAAATCGAGGTATCGCACAGCAGAGCAGCAATCGATACTATCGATATGAATATCGAGGATTGTACAGCTCTATTGTAAGCGACAAGATCCAAATTAAAATCGTGATTATCAGTTTCTGTGCAAAGTACAGATATAAATCCTACGATTCGGTTTCTTCTCAGATCACGATGTAAAGTCATGTTTCGTAAAAACGTGTTTGAAATAAAACTAGATTCGAATGATCATCGATGTTTATTGTCGATATATCGATGTCACCTTTTCTATTTGTATAAATTCCGAATCTTCTCAAAATGCAAGTAAAAGCGCTTTTTAGTCATACACAGTCATGTTATATCAAATAAAATAATTCCACAAACAGGTAAACAAAATTATTACGATCCGGTATTTATTGCTTTCGCGAAAATATCGATATATCGATTACTATATATATATTTCAAATCCGCCAGATTCTAGGGGTACTATACTTCCACCGAGTCCACTGTGAAGGGTTTGTTCGAAGTGAGTTGACGGTCCGCTCTGATAATGATAAAAATTTGACCCCCGCCCAGCGGAGCACCCCCCGCCCGCTGATTGGATAACCGCCGTGGAAAACGCCTCAGATTATCACCAGAATCAGCTAGCCGTGTGGAAAAGCGCGATTATCAGTGCGAAAAGATGAACGAAACGTGCTAAATTGTCGCCATCTTGCGGCACACACACACACATGTGACAGATTCAGAGTGTGCGTGTGTCTCGAGTCGTTGCGTCACTGAAAAAGTCGGAAAACTGGCCAGAATTTCCGAGGAAAACGCTGTAAATAGGTTTTCTCTTTGACTGGCAGCGAAATAAGTGTGTTTCCAGTGCTATCGCTGCTTTTTCGCACGGTGTTACGTAACTTTTCTGAGGCGGCGCAGGCGGCGTTTGGATCTTTGCCACCACTAACGATAATCATATCTCCGTCTATATCTTTTGCAGAGCCGTGCGCTAGCTTCAATTTTGTCGTAAGCCAACAAAAAAAGAAAATCAACCGAAAATGTTCGTGTCGACAGTCTCTCGCATTGCCCCCGTTGCCAGGAGCGCTGTAAGTAGAGCCCCCTATTGTGCGTGTGTACACCTGTGAGAGATAAAGTTGCAAAAGTTACACTTTAAATTCGCGGTTACATAATTTGGGAAAAGTGCATCGATTTTCTTCCATTTCTATGCTGGCATGCCGCTGTGGTGAGCTTCCACGGGCCGCGGTGAAAAAACACGGATGGCACACAGTTACATAAGTTGCGGGTCGAACTTTGAGGTTATGTGCACATTGCGGCTGGACGCGAATAATTGAATGCATTTGCGGGGATTAAAGGGATATAATAATGATAATTAAGTGTAATATTAACTTTGTTTGGCTTTCCCAGTCTGTCCACAGACTTCCTCACATGGCATTGTATAACATGTCGGTGTTTCTTTGGTTGAGGTTAGAACTGGCAAAAGCTTTCCAATGGCTGGGAGGTGAGGGGTGCGGGGGTATTACCAATAATTATTCAGTTTTGTTTATAATTATTATTGACAAGAAATGGGGGATATCTGTTCATTGAGTAGACTAAGAACCACCGAGTGCCACAAGAACAACAAATGACTTGGCTAAAATGCCAATCTAATGAAAATTACTTAACGATTGCATAACTTTTGGCCAAATGCTTTACTATTAAATAGGGACAGAGCAATGAACTTGCAAGGCAACTCAAGGGGTTTAAATTTAGTACATTTTAAAGAAATTTAGCAATTTAAATTAATCTAAAATTTATTGAGTGATCAAAAAAGAGTTGTAAAATTGTAATGTTTTTATACTAAAAACTTTTATACATTTTATCTCAATCAAACATTCGCACAATTCCTCATCCCCGTTCTGTGTTCCTTATATAATGATCAACATCAACTTTCTAACATCGATTTGCAGCTCCTCGCCAGCTCCAAGCAGTACTTGCGACCATTGAGCAGCGCCGTCATCAGCCAGAGCCAGACCTTGGCCGCTCAGAACACAACCCCAGTTGCACTGCTGCCACAGATCCGGTCATTCCAGACCTCGCCAGTCACCCGTGACATTGATTCGGCTGCCAAATTCATTGGTGCTGGTGCTGCCACAGTCGGAGTTGCTGGATCCGGTTCGTATTGGTTTTGTTTTGTCATTCATTCTCATCTTGTAAATCATAATCCATCGCTCAAGGGAATCTCCGGAGTCTTAACGCTTCTCTTGACCGCTCTACCAAGTCAGTTACAATCTAGCATCTGGGGCACACACAACGAGTATCTGATTACTCTTCAAATGAATTGCCCCGGGAAGGTCTGAGAATTGGCCAAAGTCTCCTTTGGGGAGACTTCATTTCCTAGCAGGAAACCTGTGTGATTGCAGGGCGAAAGTACCAGAAATCCTGTGACCACGGTGTTGCCGTTGCCCAGCGACCGCCGCCTGGTTGCATTGAAAGCTTTCGTGGCCAGCCGTTTAAGTGCGATGTGCTTGCTGCCCCCTCGGGGGCAGAACTCAATTCAGACTAATCTGTGACTGACTTACCAGGCGACAAAGAGGCGAAGGGCACTGGAGACACCCCTGAAGAGAGCTGTGTTTATGCTTGAAAATCCTTAGAAACAAAAGAATAAGCACAGCTCGAAGCTTCGGCTTTTGTCGAAGATCATCTTTCATTGTTTACATCCAACTTGAGACTAATGCCTTGATTTTTGTACTCTTTTTTCCTCTATTTCTGATAACGACAACGAACCAATACAACAGGTGCTGGTATCGGAACAGTATTCGGTTCCCTCATCATCGGTTACGCCAGGAACCCATCGCTGAAACAGCAGCTGTTCTCCTACGCCATTCTGGGCTTTGCCCTGTCTGAGGCCATGGGTCTGTTCTGTCTTATGATGGCCTTCCTGCTGCTCTTCGCCTTCTAAGCGCGCGCACTCATCGAATGCTCGTCCTTGTTTCCTGCAATCGTGCGTGCGTGCGATTGTATGCCCTGTCTTCTGTCAATCGATTTGGCAGATTTGGCGGGCGTGCAGACGCATCCGCATCCCAGCGGTGGCAGAGCGAATGAATAGTAGTAACCAACAACCAACAACAACAACACTTCAACAACCAGAACAAACAACACCAATGTTCGTTTTTCGATTATTATTGATAAAAATGATTGAATAATTGATAGCAAACAAGAACATCCTGTACCACTATCTAATTATAAATACCAACAACCACATAATATATGTAATTTTGTTTTTAAAAAACACCCGAGAATGCAGTAGTAGTCGCTTGAGAAGAGGAGAACAGAGATCAACCCGAAACACACATATTTTAAGTTGAACAACGCGAGGAGGAAGGAAATTGGATAGACGACGGCGACCTTGGCACATTCACAACAGCGATTGTAACGAAATGTAAACGAACGGAAGATTAAAATTAGATTTTAATTGAAGTTAGCTCACCTTTAGTCCCAACCACAAGCCACGGATGAAGTCTGGAACCAAAGCGCAATGCAACCACTGGCTAAAAATTCGGCGAAGGATCGAACGCGTCCGCGGACCAAGGCTCTCTCTCTCCCCCCGAAGTTCTTGGACATTAAATATCCAGCGGCAGGCAATCAGACGTGAGCGAACCCTTCGCCCATCGAACATCTATTGGATTTAAAGCTAGTGGCTTGCGTGGCATTTGCCTGGACATAAATCTGTCGGAATGTGTGTTGTGGACTGAGCGCGCGTTATGTATGGTTCTGCAAACTGTATCGATTTTATGTGGCGTGTACTGAGAAAAACCCTTTGTTTCGAGAATTTTTCTTTTTGTATTAAAAGAAAATCAGTTTCCTTATTGTACAAGCAGTTGATTTTTTTATTGCCACTTAATATTTATCATGATTATGTACCAAAAAAGTTGAGCAAACGAGCCGAGCTAAATTGTGAAATAAAGGAACAATGAATGTGTGAAGGAAAATGAAATGGTTTTATTTTAAATTGTTGAGAAATTAATTAATTTGCAAAAGTCATATCTTATCAGCTGGTATTTTTAAAAAATTCAATTTTGTGCGCCCAAATGCAACCCTGTTTACTAGTAGTAATCGGCCTGAAGCACCCTGTGATTACCGATAACATTGCTGGTAAAAGTACCATCCCTAGGCCTTCGCCACACGTGTGTTTACGTTTTGAAAAGAGATTTTGGCATGGATTTTGCCAAGAAAATACTTAGCAAGTATGGCTGGAAGGAGGGCGAGGGATTGGGCAAGAACAACACCGGCATTGCCGCTCCCCTTAAGGCCAGCTTGAAGTTCGACAACGCTGGCTTGGGAGTGGATCGAGCCCAGGAATTCAATGACCACTGGTGGGAGCGTTGTTTCAACGAAGCGGCCAGCAACGTAGATGTCCAGGTGCAGCAGAATGGCAAGATCACCACCGGCCGCAAGGAGGGCGAGGATGCCGTGGAAATATCCACCAAGGCGTTCTCCGCCCGCAAGCTAAAGAACGCGAAGGAGCAGCACGCCAGCGATGGCAAATCGACCTACGACAACTTCCTGCAAACGGCTTTGCTCACCCAAGGTGGCGGTGAGGTGGAGAATACGGAGCGAATTCGGGTGGAGGACATAGCGGTGACCAAGGTGAGCGTACTGACGGACGAGGAGCTGTTTAAGGCCTGCGGTGGAAGGACAGCGCACAAGGGAGCTCGGCACGGTCTCAAGCTGAGTGGAAAGATTGCCCGCTTGGAGCAGCAGGAGCGCGAGTTGCTGGAGAAGATGCAGAGCAAACTGAAAGCTGCGGAGGAGCAAGCAACAGCTCCAAAACAGAAGAAACGGAAGGATGTAAGTGAAAGAGAGTCCACTGAGGAGAACTTAGAACCGCAAGAGGATAATGAGGACACATCCGAGGTGGCGGCACCTTCAAAGTCCAAAAAGAAGAAAAAGGATAAAGCAGAAAAGTTGAAAGAGAAAGAAGAGCAAACGGAGGATTTGCCTGTAAAATCAAAAAAGAAAAAGAACAAAGCTGAGAAAGTGTTTGAGGAAGAATCTACTGTAAATATATCTGATGAGGAAGTGAAGTCTAAAAAGAAACGAAAGATGCAGGATACTATGGAGGAAGCCGAACTGCCCGTTAAATCAAAAAAGAAGAAAAAGAACAAGGAGGCAAAGGAACAGTAGTTATGAGTTAGGCGTAGTATATGTTAGAAAAATGTAAATTATTAAGAAAATAAAAGTATATAGAAAATGAATTCAAATCTACATTTTCTGCACATATAATTGTATGTATTTAGTTCTAAAAAAATCTATACACGACGCGGGGCATTGTAAAACTAAAGTTAACGTTTGGTCACCTAATTATATAGCCACAATCCACTGGCGGATCGGATCACTTTCTGCCCTTGGCCTTGATGCGCCGCGACTTGCCCATCCGCTTGTTGACAGAAGCTCCCGCTTTAACACCTCGTTGGCGGCGCGACGAACCCTTCTCGCCATCCAATCCCGCCGATGAGGACTTTGTGTTCCGTTTCATTCCCTTCTTCTTGCCACCAAAACCGAACTTCTTGTTGCGCTTCTTGCGATTTTCGGCCGACTGTTTCTGTTTGGACTCCAGCGCCTTGGCATCCTCCAAGAAGTCAAGGTTCTTCAGCTTGCCCTTGCGGAACTTTTTCAGCTTGTCAAGCATATCCTTCTTTTCGGCCTCGCGCTGCACCTTGGTCTGCTTGGCCAGCATCTTGCCCATCTTGCGCTGCTCGCGGATCTGCTTGATGCGCTCGGATTTGGCCTGTCCCTGCTGCTTGGCCATCAGATTGGCGCGCACCTTCTGCATGTGCTCGTCGGACTTGGCCATTTCGGCAAAGTAGTCATCGGGACGGCGGGTCTTGATGCCCAGTTCATGCAGGCGGGGAATGCCCTCGAGCACTGCAGTTTGGGCCTGTCGATGGAAGAGCATTTCGCGCTTGAAATCGTTCAGGACGGGATCTTCTTCGGGACGAATATAGGGCAGCTTATGATTGCCCTTGAACAGATTGGCGCGCTTCTGTTCGTGCTTCTCCATCTGAATCGCTAGCTCGGGGGCCAACGGAGCCAGTGTGTTGATCATGTCCAAGCGCTCCTGCCATGGCAGCTGCAGTCGAATGGCCTCAGTTTTGGCCAGGAGTTTAGCCTGCAAAAAGGATGTTAGTGGAGCACGAGAACACTTATTTAACTGTATACTTACCACATCATTAACTCTGTCCCGCTGCTGGCCGTTAAACTCCACATTCAGACCAGGCTTCAAATCGCCACGCTCAAAGGCCGCTTGCAGCTGCACATTATTGATAAAATTGTAGTGTTTGTGGGGTATATGTCGAAGTTTAGCCACTCACCTCCGCATCGGAGTTATCCCCTGAATCGTAGCCGGAGCCGCTGTCCTCCGTTTCAAAGTCTGACATTCTTAAATTAGGTAAAATCAAGTCTTGCAAATTAAGAAAACAATTTCAACACGTGCGGCTCGCTAGCGGTGGACTAATTCTGTAGACTATCGTTATCGGTTGGCAGATGTCTAATCGATATTTCCATCAACCTCTAGCATCGATGCCGATAAGCCTATCGTTTGCTGGCTTCGCTTTTAAACACTTGCCGCTTTTCTTTTGTTTAATAATTAAAAATACGGGCCTGATAAAATGTCTGCGAGTCTGGCGAATGTGTACGCGGAGCTAATGCGCCGATACGGCGAGACATTTACCATTACCTACGGCCCACCGCCCACCTACTTGGCCAACATAGTCGGAGCTGCGGAGGCGGGAAAAAAGATAGTGTTGCTTTTCAGAGAGGAACGCAGTGGTGCCGCAGCATCCAGGATCCGGACCACGCCCGTCAAGCGCGAGCGCAAATCAGATGGCACTTCGGAGCTGGATCTTACGGGCAGTCCCCTCAAGGATGACTGTGAGGTGGAAGCCATTGGGGATCAGTCGCTGGATCTGCAACTGGAGGACAAGAACCCTTGGAAGCTGGAAGAGGAGTACCACAGGGGAGTACCCGTGGATAAGGCCAGGGCCATTATTTGTCGGGAATCCTTTCAGAAGACCGAGGGCCTGGGTTCCGTGTGGTTCCTGTGCGACGCAGAAGACCTGGGCCAAACGCAGCTGCTTCAGTATGAGTTTGACAAATCGCACTTCTCGCGTGGAGTCCTTAGCTACCAGGGCGTGGTGCCAGCCTACACGGTGACCTCACAGTCCCTGGTGCGTAAACATTCTCCTGCTGGTGGCCATCCAGCTGAAACTATCATCGAAAACACCTACGCGGTGAACTCCAACATGATGCTGCGTGTGTCCCATTCCACCAATGCACCTCTTCCGCTCTTAATCAACCTACATGACTGCGAGGTGACTCTGAATAACACATTCCACGTGGGTGACTGCACTTCCCTGACGCGGGACTTTATGGTTCAGCTGCGTATACTGGTCTACATACGCGAGGATATTGTCAACTACCACAAGGATATGAAGCAGGGTATAGCCAGGGATCCCAACTACCGTTGTGGCGTCGGCATCGATATGGACGAGTTAAGGGAGGCGATCAACAAGACCATGACAGATGTGTCCGGCTTTTCGGATCTGCCCACTCATGGTCTTAGCGGAGAGGCCGACATAGAGGATGTAGTGCATCGGGCCAAGATCCGTAGGATCACCGACCTCACCGACAAGCTCTGGGAGCTGCTTAAATGTAAGATATAAATATGTGTTGATTTAATATGCAGCTTACTTAATGATTTTTTAAATTTGTTAACCGCTGTTCTCGTTTTTCAGGTTGCGACTCATATAAAGACCTTAAAATGGCCTTCAATATACTCTTTCAATGCGCCGCCCGCTGTAATATTGTGGCAAGTACCACTGATATTAATAACTTTTTATATTTGCCTAATAATATATAACATTTAGAATACCCCCACCAATAAGAATCGTCTGGCCGAGATTATCAAAGAGCTGGCCAATCGTCGATTAGCCATTCCTTGTCTCAGTGGCGCCGAGCCATTAGAACTCCTTCTGGAGATTGGCCTAGAGAAAGTATATAAGGACTATGAGTTCATCTATACCGAAAGCAAGCTGTGCAGCACCAACCTGCTGAAGCATACAAGCGAGGTGGCAGCCGCAAATGATGGTGATGACGCACCGCAGAATCTCCCCCAGCTGCGAAAATCCCTGCATAACGCGGTTAGGGGAGATCCTACCCCCGGAGCCGGTGGAATGCGAAAGACGCTGCTGCACCACAATAGTGCCGACAAGCCGGGGAATGCAAAATATGCCAGCCAGGACGACGATGAGGCGGGATTTAAGAACAGTCATTTTGATGAGCGCGAGAGCATGGAGCGGGTCTCCAAGCTGTTTCAAATCCACTGCACTTTGGAGCATCTATTGATGATACAAGTGCACCTCAATTTGCCCAATGGTAAAGCTGATTTGAGGGAAACTTTCTTTTTATTAAATTAATTCGAAAAAATGTAATATTTAATATTTGCAGCTTACAGCGATATCTGCTCCAAGCTGCTAAAGAAAACCCCATGCCTATTGGAAGCCATTGATGACCAGCTGAGTGATGAGATGGATATCACCCTCTCTGCGCACTGTGTCGCTTCCCATCTGGATGGTAAGGAACCCTACTCGCGTCAGATTACCATGCGATCTTATAATAAATTTCGCGAAATGAAGACTACATTTTACTACAACTCTGACAACATTTGTCCACCGAATCTGGTCGAGTGCTTCCAAAGCGATGGTGAGCATAAATATGAGAAAACATTTTTATTCTTATTTGTATTCTAATGTGTATTTTATTTTGATTCTAGACAAAAAACTAGTCAAGGAGCGAACATATCATTCCTGGTTGTATCGTAAGATTCGTACACTTCAGTGATTCCAATAATTTTGTATATTTATTCACAGTCTTTGTTCTAAGAAATGTATTCAATTGTTTATAGATCCCAATGTTAAATTAATATTTTCTTCTCATTTTTTTAATGTTGAAAAATAAACATATTTTTAGAATATAAAGTTTAATTACTTCCTAGAATATAGGCAACCACCTGAAAATTCAATTTATATGATTATATTGCTATGTTATTATTAATCTATAACCCTTATTTGTATGTTTTCATGCCATTGTTTGGGTTTGTTTTACATGATGCTTTTCACGCCACTTGTAACGCTATCGACGCTATTCATGAGAACCCCCAAAAAACCCAGCAGCGCACACCGAAATCATGTTAAACGAATTCGTACAAGTTTTAAGCCGACCCAGAGGCTGCTGCCGTTGCATTGGGGCAAAAATCTAGACAAAAACCCGACCGAAATCCGCTTCCGCCCTGCTCGCACTTTTATCGCCGTGTTCCTGCTGGCCATATTCTAAACAAAGGCCAGATCCGCAAGCATTTTGGCCAATAGCAAGCTCAGTAATGTTGCAAAATGAGGTGAGCGAGAGAGCGTGTGTGTGCGCCCAATGGATATTGGGGTAAAGAGTGGCAAAGGCGTCTCGGCGCCGTCGACTATATACAATATGTTACAATCCAATTAGCCGGGTGCGCCACTTGGCCAAGACGAGCGATACTGGGCCCGTTGCCGATTGATTTGCATTTTGTCAGACGTGCGTGGAACGCGCTGCGGTTCGGACGTGTTTTTTTTCCTTGCTAGCCCTGCTCCTCTGACGAACTACCGTGTAACGTTTAAGACAAGGAGCCGCCAGGATTTAAACGCGAGTGTCCTGTGCAGGAGCTACAAAAGTAAACTTGATCTGTGGACAGTGGACAGTGTGTGGCAGTTAAATTCAATTAAGTCCGTTCTAAATGCCAATTATCGCGGGTGCCTAATCCAATTAACCACAAAATGGTGTGTATTAGTTAGCCAACGAAATGGTCTTGCATCCTGCATAATCAAATCAAGTTTTCTTGCCATAAAAAGGACACTCAATAGGCTGTGCGAGTAGCCCTTGAAGTGCTCAACTCTTGCGGCTTAGCGAAGCCCTAGAGAAAACTGACTGACTGGATTTAATTCCTGTGAAACGAGAGATACCCCTTTGGTCTAGAATCATCCCTGAACTTTTGCAAAGGATAATTAAGTTGTTAATCCTCTTGCCGAGGTCTCACTCATTTCCTAGAAGAGAGGTCGGAAAATATAAACTTTTTAAAGGCTAGGGAAAGCATTTCAGTACTTGCATTGAAAGTTGAGTTTTTGAGTTGATTGACTTTAATAAAATTTAGTAATTAAACTAAATTTAAATAATTTTAAAAATCAATTCAATTAAAGATTGAAGACAAATTATTATTTGAAAATATCAGTTGTTCTCCTGCTCAGTCACCTTATCTTTTTTACCCTTAGGGCCTTGAATTCTTCTTTAAGTTTGGCTATGCCTTCCTGACAATAACCCTCATGATCATGATCTGGATGTCGCTGGCTCGCGCCTCGATGTTCGATCGTGAAATGGAGGAGACGCATTACCCGCCCTGCACCTACAATGTGATGTGCACCTGTTCCAAATCCTCAACCGATCTGGGAATAGTGCACTGCAAGAACGTTCCGTTTCCCGCACTGCCGCGCATGGTGAACCAATCAAAGGTGAGTGATTCCTATTTCTTAGCAATTATTTTGAAAATTAGGGATGCTACAGAAATGGCTGATTTTGAAAGAAATATAGACATATTTCCAATTTTTTAAAATCTAGTTTTTAGAAATTTAAAATTGTAGGCATTTTCTTATAGCAATATCTTTAAATCTTTATAAATTAAATAATTCCTAACGTATACACACCTAAATACTCTTCATGTGGGTTAGGTTTTCATGCTGCACATGGAGAACACGGGTCTGCGCGAGATCGAACCATACTTCCTGCAGTCAACGGGCTTGTACCGGCTGCAGATCTCGGGCAATTACCTCACCGAAATCCCGGAAGACGCCTTTATCGGGCTAGAGCGATCGCTGTGGGAACTGATCCTGCCGCAGAATGATCTGGTGGAGATGCCCTCGAAATCGTGGCGGCACCTGAAGAAGCTGCGCCACCTAGACCTGGGCTACAATCACATAACGCACATTCATCACGACTCGTTTCGCGGGCTGGAGGACTCGCTGCAGACGTTGATTCTGCGCGAGAACTGCATCTCTCAGCTGTCACCGCACAGCTTCTCGGGGCTGCTGATCCTGGAAACCCTAGACCTGAGTGGCAACAACCTCTTCGAGATCGATCCAAATGTGTTTGTGGACGGTATGCCACGATTGACACGCCTTCTGTTAACGGACAATATTCTCTCGGAGATCCCCTATGACGCCTTGGGGCCGCTGAAGAGCCTGCGCACCCTGGACATCTCCCACAACGTGATTTGGTCACTCAGTGGCAACGAGACCTATGACATCAAGGCCAGCACCAAACTAAATCTAGACAATTTGCATCTGGAGTATAATCACATTGAGGTGCTGCCGCCCAACTCGTTTAAATACTTTGACACCGTGAACAGGACTTTCTTCGATGGCAATCCCATTCACACATTGAGGGTAAGTGATATTTTTTGGAATATTTTACTTTTTAGTTAAATAAATAATATACTTGGAGCTTAAAATAAAACAAATAAACTTCCTTTATTTCACAGGAAGATGCCTTTAAGCCCGCTCGGATCAGGGAGATATACATGCGATACTGCGGCCTTACCAATATCTCGATTCAGGCCTTTGACAGCCTGGTGAACAGCCTGCAGATTCTCGACTTGTCTGGGAACAATCTCACCAAGCTGCACCACAAGCTCTTCAACAATTTCGATGTCTTGAGGTGAGCGAAAAACACCTCTATTCCTTGTTGCTACCCCGGTTTCCCTCACACACTGCACACACGCACGGGGGCCTAATCGGATTGTCTAGGGGCTTCACTCCGTTTCCCTCCGATTTGTATGTGGGCTAAGAGTGTGACCCGATTTTAAAGAACCCGCGGAGGAGGGAAAAGCCGCGCAACCAGGCAATTGTGCAAAAAACATCCGACACTGAAGGAAAAGCTTAGACTTAAATAAATCCAAAAATTATAAATCAATACAAGTTTGTTAGGGGAATTTAGTTTGTTATGTGAAAAGCATAATTTCCTAAAAGGTTTTAAACGAGTGGAAAACATATTAGATTGTTATATAAACAAATTTATTAATTTTACATGCTGGTTATTATTTGTTATCACAGGGTTATCAGCATGCGGGACAACAAGATCAAAATCCAAAAGCCCACCGAAACCTTTAATGCCATGCACTATACCCTCCTGAAATTGGATCTAAGCGGGGACCGGAATGATCCCACCAATCTCCAGACTTTGCGCAAGTAAGTGACCCCCACAGCACTGAGAGAATATCCTGCTTCCCACACACACACCCCTTACCCCATTACCACTCTTCTATTTATTTACAACAAAGTATGACCAGAATGCGGAACATGCGCTCGCTGTCGATCTCGCGAATGGGCTCCTCCTCCCTGGGACCAGAAGACTTTAAGGACTTTGGCGTGGAGCTGGAGGATCTGCAGATTACCAGGGCCAGTCTCTCGGGTATTCAGTCGCACGCGTTTAAGCATGTGAGGGGTCTAAAGCGACTGGACTTTAGCGAGAATGGAATATCCAACATTGAAAATGATGCCTTCCATGAGGTAAAATTGGTTTTTAATGGCATTTAGATATATTTCTTATTATATTTTTGTAATTTCCTCTGCTTTTTAGATTGGCCACTCTCTGATCTCCCTGAAGATGTCTCATGGCTACTCGGGCAGTGCTCTGCCGGCGGAGGCTCTGAGGCACCTGACCTCGCTGCAGGAGCTGGACTTTAGCAACAACCATATTAGCAGCATGAGTGACACCAGCTTCCATTTCCTGAAAAATCTGCGATTGCTGGAGTTGCACGACAACCGCATTGAGCAGGTGTCCAAGGGCACTTTCCAGGGCGATATCCACTCGAAGCTGGAGGAGATCTCGCTGCGCTTCAATCACTTGACTTCGGTGTCTACGTATACCTTCTTCGATCTGGAAGCTCTAAGGAAACTGCATTTGGATGACAATAAGATTGACAAGATCGAGAGAAGGGCCTTCATGAACCTCGATGAACTGGAGTATCTGAGCTTGAGGGGAAACAAAATCAGCAATTTAGCGGAGGAGTCCTTCCAGAACTTACCGAATTTAGAGATCCTGGACATGGCATTCAATCAGTTGCCAAACTTTAACTTTGATTACTTTGATCAAGTGGGAACGCTGTCGAATCTGAATGTTAATGTGAGCCACAATCAAATTAGGCAATTGATGTACAACTCCTCGTGGAGTGGACGAAATGAACATGGTAAATAAATATAATTAATTATAATTTATACTTAATAATTTGATATGTATTTCAGGCGGCATGTACCACTCAAATATCAAGATTTTGGATCTCTCCCACAATAACATTTCCATTATTCACCCGGGCTACTTCCGGCCGGCTGAGAATTCATTGACCCATCTGCATTTGGGTTATAACTCTCTAATGGTGGGTAACTCTCTGAGATCTAGTTTAATTTTAAAACATTTTATCCTTGTAGAACACCACTCGCGATGTCTTTGGCAATATGATAAACTTGCAATGGCTGGATCTCAGCTATAATTGGATCCATGAGCTGGACTTTGATGCATTCAAGAACACCAAGCACCTGCAGTTGGTGTACTTTGGCCACAACTATCTCAGCGATATACCGCAGGACATTTTCAAGCCTGTCCAGGGTCTGCGAATCGTTGACTTTTCGCACAATCATTTGCGTGGCCTGCCCGACAATCTCTTCTACAATGGAGGAATGGAAAAGTGAGCTAAGAATCTCTCAACAGTTTTCTTTCAGAAATACAATGAGTTTTTTCTATTCAAGATTGGATGTGTCGCACAACATGCTCTTGAAGATTCCCTCCTCTTCGCTGTCTAGCTTGGCTGCCCTGACGCTGTGCGAGTTGCATTTGTCCAATAACTTTATTTCCACAATTCACAGCATGGATCTGTCGAACAAGTTTAGAGTGAGTTGATTTATTACATGAAGTATTTTTATAAATTAAATATATATATTTTGTAGTCCCTTCGCTACTTGGACATCTCCTACAACTATTTGCTACGCATTGAAGATGCCGTTTTTGCTACCATGCCCAAGTTGGCTGTGTTGGATCTGTCTCATAATCGGGATCTTAAGGTGATGGATAAGTCGTTTATGGGTCTAGAGAACTCGCTGATCAAGCTGGGCCTGGAGAATGTTTCCTTGAGCACTGTCCCAGAGATTCGTCTTAAATTTCTGCGTGAGTTCCGTTTGGGCTACAATGAACTGCCCTCGATTCCCCAGGAGTTGGCCACCAATATGTCCAATCTGCGCATGCTGGACCTATCCAACAATGATTTGACCAATGTGCCCTTGATGACCCAATCTCTGCCACATCTAAGGTGGGGTTAGATTGTACTTAATATTTATTAAGCCTGTTATGAGTTATTTTATTCCTTCGTCAGACGTCTGATGCTGTCCGGCAACCCCATCACCTCGCTGAATAACAACAGCTTCGATGGCGTCAATGAGGATCTCGAAATGCTGGACATATCCAATTTCCGACTACATTACTTCGAGTACGGCTGCCTGGACTCGTTGCCCCATCTGCGATCCCTGAAGCTCACTGCTTACTCTCACATCGAGCACTTTAATATTCCTTATTTGCTGCGCCATCACTATAATATCCGGCAGCTGTGGATTGAAGCACCGCAGCCCTTCACGAGGATTATCAAGAAGGGTTCTGGACCCACCCTGGAGATGCAGACCCTCTGGCTGGGCAATCCCACCGATCTGCAGCGCGAAATGGAGGGTCATCTGCCCTCCAAGCTGACAAACATAACGTTCAGTGGTCCCCAGTTTAGTAATCTACATGAACGTATTCTGAGGGTAGGTTAGCTTTAGGTTCTCTGCTTTCTTGAAGAATATTATTAGTATATTTTTTTCTTAGGGCATGCGTTCTCCCTATCTCTACATGCAATTGTTCAACACCTCGCTGCAAGCCCTCCCACCGAATTTCTTCAAGTACATGGGCCGAGTTCGTAACATTTCCCTGGATATCCGTTACAACAATCGCAACCTAAAGAAGATTCCCAACCCGAATACGGGAGCTGTGCCATATCTGCCCAACAGTGTATTCCTCACCGACCTGAAGATGTCACATACGGATCTCAACTGCGATTGTGATTTGGGGTAAAAAACTATACTATATCCTATATCCTATCCTATCCATATTTTAATTTTCAGTTGGGTTGAGTTCTGGCAGCGCAAGAGGCGCCAGTATATTTGCTCTTCGCAAACCTGGACAGATACTGTCTTCCGCACTTTCATGAACTCACCGTGCCAGGTGTACGGACGTCATAATTGCGATGATCATGATGATGATCTAAGGGAGACACGCTGCGAAAACAAAGGAGGTCAACAGTTAATGGAGGTAGGTTACTAACATTAAAAATAATATGTTATTTTTATAATATTTATTGTTTTTGTAGGCTCTCAAATTCGATTTAGAGTGCGGCTGGGATAATGCCAATTGCCGGGAGGCCGCCTTTGTGGTGGTTATGGTGTGCGTGGCCATGGTCTTCTGGATGTGACTTCTGCACTTTGCATATAAGACGTCCACCGACTTTTATAGCATTCTAGAGCAGGTCTATGGCAGGCAGGTCGTCTAAGTCCTGCCATCAGATGTCTAGAGTTTAAGCTTGATGATGAGACTTTGGCCACTTTTGACTCCTTTCGCAGTTAGTTGTTTCTCTTCCGTATACCTTCTATCACCACTCCGCTGTGTAGCGACAATCTTTAGAGTCCTTGGTAACGCCTTATATGTAGTAATCCTCACTTACACACAATCCACACTCCACACTCTTCAGCACACTCACCTCACCTCACACCTTTCTGTCTGACATGTATGTATATTTTTGTTGGCCTCGATTCGAACCATATATAATCTCCAGCTAACTTATAACCACGTCTGACTTAGCCCACGAATATTTTCTGTACTTCTTTTATAAGTTAGGTCACTGCTTAAACGCTGCTTAAACAATTCCAAAATGAAAGTCTGTAAAATGTTTCATAAACATATAATAAATATTTACGGTAGGTTAAGTTCGCCTCTGGTTCTGACTCTCTCTTTCCTTTTTTTTTGAGGGTGGACATTATGATTTTTTATGGGTCTGCTGGGCCGGCAGAAAAGTACTTGCTACAAACAAATTATGTTCACAATTGCCAGACCAGGCAGCTGGCCGGTCAGTAACAAACAATTAAAAACTTTTCGCTTAAAGTTTCCTCCACTTCGTATACGGCTTTTCCATACGATAAATTATTGTGTGTAAAGCGGCGAGCGCTTTTCCTCTCTTACTTTTGTTTTGTTTCTTTTTGCTGGCCTTCCTGCCGAGGGTATTTTCAGTTAAATGGGAATTTTGGAGCACACACAAAGGGAAGTATTTAAGCAGTGTTCAATATACAAGCGTTGTTGGGTATTTTCCAGTCAGAACTATGAGGAAGTTAAAGGGGATATTATAATCGGGTTTAAGTTTTATTAATTTCGATAGTTTTTTTTTAGAATTACTTATTACCTTTTTATTATAGAATTAAATTTATAAGTTCAATATATTTTGAAATTTAATTCTTTTAAAATTTAAAGTGGAGAACTATATTAAATGTATATATTCCTCAGCGTATATAGAAAATCTCAATTAGGGTATTCAAAACACTGCCTCTCTGAGACACTCCAGTTTTCTTGCGTTTTACACATATATATATTTTTGGCAGTTTTATTGAGCTAAAGTACTTTGTGATATATGGCTGGAGGGGGGAAGGTGGACGTGGGCGGCGCACTAAAGTTCAAATGGGGCAGCAACAATCTCATCAACTTCCCGTTTATGCACTTTTCCGATTCCGGTGGCGGGTGTGGGTGCCTCGCAGCGGCCGCAGTAGTGGAGCTGTTTTGGAGGAAAAGCGGGAAATCAGAATGGCGGAAAAGCGGTTGGGGTAAGTGGAAAGTGTCTAGAGCTCTTTCTGTGGCAGACTTTTTACCTGTTGGCCAATTAAATTTTCAAAACGTGGCCGCACAAAAGTCCAGGCGCTCATATTGCGATGCTCTTCCTGGCTCCAAACAAAAGCTGCACAGAAATAAAAATATTAAATATTAAAAATAAAATTAAATTAAATAAAAAGAACATACAATATAGTAATAGTTTAACATAAAAGAAACTAATTTAAAACCATTGTGTACGAATGGAATTTATATTTTTGTCTTTGGAATAATATTATTTTCAGTGTAAAGGGTAACGATGGAGTAAAGCAGTAGTGGCCAACTTTGTGGGCAAAGTTTACGACATGAACTCACATTGCACGTTGCCATACTGGGCCAACTGGGCCTTCAGCTCCTGGAGGGGGAATGGACAGAGGGACTCCAGGCGCAGGATGGCCGTATCATAGGCCTGCCGCTTCTCGCGCTCCTCCGCCAGATTGTAGTAGTGCTTGCCGCTGCACAGGATGACCTTTTTCACCTGCTCTGCCTTCACGGTGGTGTCGCCTTTTAGAGGAAAGTAGGAATAAGTTGATTAAGAAAACAAAATATATAGCACTTTAATAGTAGCAAAGTAGTAGCTTTAACTTTGACATTAAACTTTATAGTTTTTTTTAATAGTCTAGAAGATATAACCCAAAACATAAAAAAGACGTCTTAAACTTGTACAAAGTGTAGATAAATTTTAATGTCTAGCAACCTTATCCCTCTCTCAAACTATTATCCTTCCTCAATTTTCAAATAATTTATTTAATTCAGTTTAACTGACACAATTCTGACAGGTGTTAAGGGACCAGACACGTGTCAGAATAACTGACGGACAAGCAGGTAGTAATTTTACTATCTAAGTACTTCTAAGCGATGTTAAGAATAAAACAAGAGAATAATTAAACAACGAGAGCTTAAAAGAAGCAGAAAATATAATGAAAATAAGATTAATTTAATAGTTGTTACTTCAAAATGCTATACCCATTTCCTGTAAGGATTAAAACCATATATATAACATTTTACTCACCCAAAACATTGTGGAAAAGCGTGCCCGGTTGGAAGTCTTCGTGTGTGGACGTTGCAGCCGGGAGACGGAGCAACGTCTTCGGGGCCACCACTACCAGTGGCTTCCTGAAGTTTCTTGCCAGCTGGCGACGCAGGACATGGTAGTACTGGGCGGGCGTAGTGGGGTTAACGATGTGCACGTTGACGGAATCGCCATCTGCAGCGGTCTCCTTGGAGTCGCACAGTTGCAGGAAGCGCTCGATGCGACAGGAGCTGTGTTCCGAGGCAGCACCATCGTATCCATGGGGAAGCAGCATCACCAGGGCATTTGACTCCATCCATTTGGCTAAGGAAAAATATGCTCTTGATTATAAAGGAAAAACTAATAGGTACGTATCAAGTTACTAACAAAATATCTTTGTAGTTTTATATTTTTATACAATCAAGATCTATATCCACAATTAAAAAGTTACTCACTCTCTCCCGACACAATAAACGTATCGATAATGATTTGGGCTCCATTGGCAAAGTCCCCGAACTGTGCCTCCCAGATGATCAGGTTATTGGGATTATCAATAGCCATTCCATACTCGAATCCCAGCACCGCCTCCTCCGATAGAATACTATGTGCCAGTTCTAGTTTGCCGCCATTTCCACCTGCCATGCTGTTGAGTGGGACAAACATCTCGTTGGTCTGCTGATCCACCAGCATGGCATGGCGATGGGAGAAGGTTCCCCTGCCCACATCCTCACCACTGATGCGGACATTGTGTCCCTGATACATCAGACTTCCGATGGCCAGGGCCTCGGCCGTGGCCCAATCAATCTTGGCACCGTTCTCCAGCTTCTTCAAGCGAGCTGTTACATGGGTTTTCAGCAGGTGAGGATGGATGTTCTAAAAAAACTTGATTTACTTTTGTTATCTAATTAATGATCTAAATGACAACTTACAAAGTCCTCAGGGAAGGCCACACTTTGTTGTCCTATGTAATGCAACAAGGAGTAATCAAGACCCGTATCCCAGTAGGTTAGTTCCTTGGACGGGGCCAGCTGAAGATCCTTCCACTGCTTCTCAAAATACGAGGGCGGCGGCTGATAGGTGGGAGCCAAGGCCAACTCCTCGCCCAGATACTTCATATAGTTATCCCTCATTTCCTTGGCCTGTGACTCAGAGAGAACCTGCTCCTTGGCCAGCTGCTTGGCATACAAATCCGGCACCGATTCTCTTTGATGCACGATCTTATAGACCAGCGGGTTTGTGAAAGTGGGATCGTCCAACTCGTTGTGGCCCCAGCGACGGAAGCAGTTGAGATCGATGAAGATGTCCTTGCGGAACACCCTCTGATACCGGAATGCCAGGTTTGTGATTCGGGCCAGAGCCTCGGGATCATCCCCATTTACATGGAATACCGGCGCTTGGATGGACTTGGCCAAGTCGGAGGTGTAGGCCGTGGATCGCCCGCGATCTCCGGGCGTGGTGAATCCCACCTGGTTGTTGACAATCAAGTGTAGGCTGCCGCCCACTTCAAAGTGCGGCACATAGGCCATATTCAGGCACTCCTGGTTAATACCCTGCCCGGCGAAGGCCGCATCTCCATGCAGGATTACGTTGAGTACATGTTGGCCAAAGGGCTGAGTGTCGCTGTTTCCAAACCCTCCCTCGCCTCGCGTCTGTTGCTTGGAACGCGCCTTGCCCATGGCCACGGGATTGGCAGCCTGAGAGAGCGAACGGAGGACAAAGGATCCGGAAGATAAAATCGGGAATCAAATTTCAAAGTTTGGCGTGTGTCGGCTTACCTCCAGATGCGAGGGATTGCGCACCATGCTGAAGTTCAGGCTCTTGCCCAGCACCTGCAGCTGCTCGGAAACATCTGTGTGCGATTCGGTTTAGGTTTGATTAAATTAAGCATACGCCATGTGTGCTTAGGCTAGCAAACCTACTTTCATTCTCCATTATTGCCACTCACAAAGAGAGGGCTTGAAAGATTTGCTCGACTGGATATTATCCATTACTTAAAGTCTTTTTGCGACATTAAATTTATTTTTTAATTATTAAAATAATAAATAAAATGTAATCATAAGAACTATTATATTAAAAGTATCAAAATGTTCAGAAAAACTTTAATCTTAGATAATGTTATTATAACTGACACTAACTATAAAATATATTCAGGAAATGTAGCAAGGGATACAAGATTATGATCCCTTCCTTTAGGTACCCTATAAAGCTCACAAAAAAAAAACCTCCTACGAAATTTGCCGGAAAAGTTTCACTTACGGAAATGACTTATGACGTCGGACATGGCCTCGATGTCTTCGGGAAACTCGGATGCGCCGCTGAGTTTGCGGAAAACTTTCGCCGGCCGCATGTTGAGCAGGGCGGCCTGCAGCGGGGTGCGTCCTCGGTGGGGCATCGCCAGGACCACGTGCTCGATGTTCGCTGTCATTCCGTTGGACGATTTTTGTCGTTGTTGTCGTTGTCGCCGTTATTTCCATGGATGTTTCCGTTGTTTTAATCGGGATTGCATGCGAGGGAGAAAAGTTTTTGGGGGCAAAGCAGATTAGGGTTAAGTAAGCGTGCCGTGATATGTGAGAGCTCGTGAAGGGGGCACCTGTTCAGGTGTGACAACGTGACACGATTGTCGGTTCACGTTTATCCCCAAGGCGGAAATCAAACAAAGCACTGTTATCTCTATCAAGTAAAGAGGAGATAAAGTTTGGCGGCTTGAAATGGGTCTGCGATTTTGGGAAATGCTAATCGTATTGGAGGAGCAACAATCACGGCAAGGATTGGGAAAAATATTGTATAAAACTACTTAACTTTTATATAAAGGACAAGACATTAACAACTCTAAACGGACTCAACAAACGCATTTAAAAATTCCTAATTAACTTTAAGTTTTATTGTTGCTTGACGCCGAATTTTATGCCACGCTTGTGATTATTTTAAATACATTTTATATTACCCTAAAGCTATCTAAACACCTAAAGAGCCGACCTGCATGTTAATTTAAATTGCCAAAATTTTTATGCGAATGTGAGAGAAATGGGAATGAAATATTTTCAGGTCCTCACCTTGGACGCTGTCGCGTAGCAGCTGCCAGAAGAAGGCCAGCATGGACTCGGCGCCCTCGCCCCCGTACCGCTTGACAGTGGGAAACTTGAGAGCCATGAAATTGTCCCAGGCCTGCGACTTAATTAACAGCTCGGCGATTTCGCAGCGCTCGGCGTTCTGCAGCTGCTGCTGGTCCAGCGTTTCAAAGTTCCTGGCCAGCCATTCGCGCTCCTCGATGTCCTGTGAAAATAAGGCAGCGGGATCAACATTAGTAGTATGTTTATGAGAGCGGGGAACACTTGGAGAAAATTGTTCATTAAATTAGAACCATTTAAGAAAGATTTCTAGTTTTAAATTTGAATACTTAATAAGAGATATTAACATAGAACATATTTCCTGATCTATGATTTTTTTCAAATACTCAATCCTCCTAAGTGTTTTCACATTTTCCGAGTGTCTAGAGAGCGGGCCACTTACCTCGACATAGGAGAACTCGGCGCTGGTTGAGCGGCCGCAGTAAATGTCCTTGAGCAGCTGCTCCAGCTGGGCGACGTCCTGGGCCACCTGCGGACCACTTAAGAGGCCAGCGGTGCGCACCGAGTCTTGTGTCTGCAGTCCATAAAATGCGGGACTTAATTCCTGCAGCTCCTCCTGGCTGTCCGGCCAAAACACGCCCACGAAAATTCACAGGACAAATACACGCAGCCAGGACATCGGGTGGGTGACATTACAACAACAAAAAAAGAGGGCAAGAAGGGAGAATAAAATATGACATTTGCCGGCATGATTTCTGGAGGTCCAGGCCTGGCCAGACTCCCCAGGACTCCGCCTACCTCGCCCTGATGCTGATGGGATTTACGGTCGCCAATTTGTGCCCGTGCTGGCGAAAGGCCTCCACAAAACGATAGACATTGCCCTGCGAGTTCCTCGACGCCCGCACATCCTCGGCCACTGGAACGAACACATGCGTAAACAATATAAATTTCGACTCACGTTATAAATTATTTAAAAAAGGATTCACGTGCATCTCCCATTGCCACGGCCATTGCTATTGCCTCTGCCACAGTGTGCGGCCTTTTGAATTTATTGGCCTTTTACTTTTATGATATTTATTCTTTGCTTTTTACGCTCCGCTTCATTTTGATGGACTAGCTGCGAGGTATATGCACTTTCGAATGCTATTTGCCCCGCAAATATTTGAGATTCGATATTCATACGCATTGGGAAATGCTAGCGGGTAATCGAAAGCTTTCAAAGGTTAAAGGTAAATTATATTTTTAATTTCTTTATTAATTCTGAGCGACTTACTTTAGGCAAAGTCAAATATTGCAGTAATTTAAATAGTTATTTATTTGGAAATGCATTTTTTCGGTGTCGCTATGATAGCAAAACTCATTTAAAAATCAACATAAAATAAAAATATGCTTAAAAAAAGAGTATTCAAAGTTTGTTTTTGGCCAAACAAATACCGGATTTGTGTTCCATATGAGAAATGGCAATGGTTGTTTTTATTGGTTATTTTTTTCGACCATTTCATTCTCTGGTTGAGCCATTGACAACTCGTTTGCTGCTTAGGTGTTTACGTGCTAAAGTGTTATCCTGCTTAGAGGATTTATATGCGATGACGCATATCACTCGATTACCAAAGTAAACCCCCTGGAAAATCCGTGGGACAGGCCACGGGTCACAGAATCTCCAGCAGCTGGCAGTTGGCATTAACATTTGGCAGTTGCCAGTTTTGGACCCGCATTAAAATTGAGTTTCCTCAAAAATTTATGCAATTTCTCGGCAACATTTTCGGTGATAAATCAATTTAATGTTAAAGTGTAAGGTCGCCCTGGACAGGACAGGAATGATGAATTGTATTTGCGGCGACAACATTTCAACTTGGGCGTGTAAATATTATTGGAGCACAGCGGCGCGTCCTTTGCCAAAGGATAATGGTTGCCCTCGCCGAGATGCAGGCGAGGGAAGCAAGGCAAACAAGTCGGTGAGCACAGCAGCATGGCAGCCCCTGTATCCTCCCAAGGGGGCTGTCATGTGAATTTAATCAGACTACATTCAGGGAAATTTATATTTTAAAGGGATAATTAAATTTTAATAGGAGTAAAATAAATTAATATAATTTTATAATTATTTTTGTGTCCCGAAATATTATTTTTCACAGCTTAAAGCTTAAAATTTAACTGTTAACGAGTTTCTCAAGGTTAAAAATAAATAATTTGTATATCTATGCTTGCTTGGAAAGAGAGAACTTTAATATTAATACATTTAATTTTCAGATTAATACACCATCCAATTCTATTTCTTCTATTTTCCTGTTAGCTTTTCTCAACTCAATTTTCAGTGGAAAGTGACTCTTATTGCTGATGTCATATAGCGACCGTTCCAGCAGCAAAAACCCAAACCTTTGAAGGCTCCTCTTTGCCTCTGTTAAAGGCTCCCGGCTGACTACCCGACTTGACTGGTGTCCACTGACACTGCTTTCAATGGACTGCTGGCCACGGTGTCGATAAGCCCTCAATTGTGTACGCAACTGAGGATGCTGGACGAGCACAAAGGAGTCTCCGCTTTTCGGTCTATTGTTCGCCGGACTTTGATATTTTGTCAAGCTTTTCGGCAGGCTCCCCGTTGTGAGTTTTCGTGTGGAATATCTCTTTTGGTCTGTCTTTGCTTAATTAGTGCAGTTTCCTAAACAAACCATGGGGGGTCTCTCGCAATCTCTTAGCTCTAAATATAAACCCCTACTAGCACTAGACTGCACCATATATTTCAAGTTTATCAGATTTGTCGGTGGGAGAACATGTGATAAGCTAAAAACCAAAGATTAGTACGGCCAGGTAACAGGAAAGAAGGCAACATTAAGACCATAAAAAATATTCCACCAGCTAGCAGAAGTTGTATTTCTTTGAAAGTTACCAAAATGTTGGCATAAACAATGAGTTGGTTATATTGGTAATATATATACAGATTATTTGGGATTTAAATATATTTTTAAATTCTTTATAAACTAGTATCTGTGCCAAAAATATGATGATTCTCAAGTGGAGGTAATTTGCATTTATTATTTAAATACTTAATAGATCTAAACCAAATTAAAATATAAATATATTATTATATATTGTTTGAAGTATTTGTATTTCTGAATATATTAAATATATAAATAAATTTATTTGCAAATTATATTAATAATATTTACGGCTCTCAAAAACCCACACAATTTCCTAATATACCCCTCCTTATAAAGGGTATAACTATACAAAACAGATCCAGCAGGTTGGCTTGAACATGTTCGAAGTGCAGACTGAAATCACATAAAACGCCCCGGGATTGAGTTTGTGTTTGAGTTTGACTTTTGCTTTTGGTTTTTGAGTTTAGCCGCAGCAATTTGTTTTTGATCTTTTGTTTGGATTGTTGTTTCATGAAGTTGTTGTGGCATTTGTTGATGGTCAGCTGCTTGGGTCACACAGAACAGTGATAAACAGCCGGCTTGAAAATTAGGGAGGGGTCAAGGGGTCACAACACAGACACTGCTCACTATACAGAAAACTCCTGTGGATTTCTTTTTGTTCGTAGTACATTTCCACTGCTCATTTAGCTGTTTTTGATCTTGGTACACATTTCTTATCGATGCGATGGTTATCTCGACGGATGAGGACTTTTTTTTTTTATAATTGAAGTCTTGGCAACACTTTGGGATTAGGAATTAGAAACCTGTGGCTATACCTTGAAATTCGCGCCGTGGACTCGGTTTATATCCCCAAACACCCTTCTCGCTGTGATAGTATCGCGAGAGTGGGCGTGGCAGTCTTGCGATTTGCAATTCAGAACTCGCAAAGTAACGCAGCATGCTGATCAATGGAAATAGTGCGGAAATCTGCCGGATCACCTGATAAAAAACGAAGACGCGGATATACGCGCGATCACTGTTGCCGTCGCCGTTCGACCCAGAACTGAAATCTATATAATTTTGTTTGGAGTCCCGGACCCCCTCAAGTGTTCCGAATAATGATAAGCTCATCAAGAGAGCCGAAGAGAGTATAAAAAAATATACACAAATATTTCTCTCTTTGGTATCTCTCATGTTCCAATTTTTCATGGCCTATTTTAGGGCTCATCTGGGTATAAGGTCTAATCTGTTAATGAACAGCGCGCGTTTGGGTTCTGTTAAGTTGATATTGTTATACACATGTAGCAAATGATAATGACACCAAAACATGGCCCTAGTTGGAATTTCGAAACCGTTTCTTATCAGAAACTAAAGCTGATAATGCAGCAGGTTCGCTGGCCACTAATTGATGATGGTTTTTTTTTTTGTCGGAGAGTTAAAAAAGCGAGGTGAATTCTTCAACTAGAATGACTCAAGAGTCTAAAAATGTATGAAGTCTTTTGAAATTAAATTAAGCTTAAGTTAACTATATCATTTTTAAATTTAAATATATACCTCTAGATTTAGTAGAATATTGCTGACCAAATATATTTTGATTAATTTATTAGGCTTTATCCTTGTTTACAAGTTATCAACAAAATCATGTAAAGCCGAGAAAAGGTTAGCCAATTTAACTTGACAAACATTTCTGTTACAAAAATTAAATTAACTTTATAAATACTAAAAGTAAAGTAAATATTTTCTTGGATTATAAATATAAAATGAAACCTGGAAGATATCATTTAAATTCCATTCATTCGCTTTGGTTACCAGAAATAATGTGCTTTAAGAAAGTTCCTTAGCCGGGTTAAGGATTTGAATATCCCCCAGAAAATGTATTTATTTTATGCTTTCCATTACCCGAGTTACCCTTATACTCGTTCCCTTGTTTATTTCTTCATTAATGAAGGCCATGACACTTTCATGGCCTAATGAAATCAATCCGTAGGCCTTTCGATGTCGTCGGCCATTCATAAAACTTGAGCTGCAGCGGAAATGCCGTATGATGGGCGGTAATGGGTCATTGTCTATAATTATAGCGGAAGTGTAATCTGTAAGAGTACAAGCATATACAGGCTCTGTATTACGGCCCATTCAATTTTCCACAAAATGGCCGCGTCATGACAAACGCCGATGATTAACTGGAATGAAAATGAATCACAAAAATCGCCGAGTGTCCACAGTCAACAGAGAGCAGTTCCTCCCCGCCACTCTACTCGTATATGTATATCCCGAATACTGGAGTAAACAAATAAATTGGTAACTTTGGCCAACTTGCACAATCTAGAGCACAAAAATGAGAGAGAAAAAGCGAGGGAAACGCCGCAAGGAATGCGTTATCAGTGCGTGGAGGTCCAATGATTAGATATGGTTAACTTTATCTGGCCGATAAGGAAACGTTTCACAATCGACTAGACGGCGACAGGTGAACAGAGTTTTGGCAACGCCCCGATCAGTTCAGTTTTAGTCTTAGCTGAGCGGCTCGCTGCAACGAACGTGTTTTTCTGCCTGGTAATTGGGAAATAAATACCAAAATTGGTGACAAAGTGATAAGAAGGCTGATAAGCCCATGGCCTCCGAACTGATGATGTCATCAAGTGAAAATTATTGGAAAAAAGCAAGAAAAACTGGGATACATCAAAGATATATAGTGAAAACTGATGATATTTCATATTAAAAGTATACAACTTCAAAGATATTAAAGAAATTTCGAGAAGGAGCCACTTTCTTATCATATCTAAAAGTGAAAAACTGTGAAGAAACTCAAGGAAAAACTAAGTGAAATATCCCAAAATTATTTTAATTTAAAGCTTATTTATAAAGTTAATTTATTTTCTTCCTCGAGATAAGTGAAAATTCCTTAAAATACATCTTCAATTTTTCTTTTAGCAGTGAAACGAAAAAAACGAATTACGAATTACTATAAGTGCTAACGAAAGCGAGTGAAAATGCGCTTCAAACTGTTTGTGGTTTGTGCGCTGGCCTGCGGCTTTATGGCCTATGTCCTGGCCAACGAAAACTTCTCCGGGGAGGAGCTGGAATTTGAGGATCAGATTGTGAACGCAGTGCCCGTGGAGCAGCCAAAGGTACAGCCGAAAGCCAAGCCCCAGGCTGAATTTGTGGATGTTCCAAAGGCTACACCCGATCCCAAGAAGGTGGTAGTGGTGAATCCGAGCCCCACCCCAAAACCATCAGTGCTGACCACCCAAAAGCCTGCCAAGAATGTCGGTACGGGTGGCCAGAGAATGATACCCGTGGTGCATGTCGACAGCCGTGGTACGGATGACGTCCTGACTGTGGCCGGTTTGAAGCCACAGGCCATGTCCGGAGCTCTGGTCATGCCGAATGACTACCTGGGCGAGCTGTACGACGTGGACAACAGTGGCTACAATTGGGGTGAGTATTCAGTGTCCCTGCGCTGATTCAGTTAACATAGTCTATTACTCATACGCCGCGTTGCCCGCTGAATGGGCTATCTTATCAGGGCAGCAAGCTCAGTTGGCTTCAGCTCGGTTTAGTTACCAATATTTGCTCGATAACCTGTTCGCTGGCTCACTCACCCACCCAACCGGGCAGGTGTTGTAAGTTCTCTTTTGCCAGTTTTCCCTCTCTCTGTTTGGCTCCGATAAGATAATGCCCGGGTTGAGGCATTAAAAAGCTAACGATTCCCTTGTTTTCTGCTCCACCTTTTGCTCGGCAAACAAAACAAGTGCGTGGTGCAGGGGTCTATATATGTTATGTATGCATGTATATATACATAGAGCCGTACATATCCCATATCTCTGTGGACATAAGAGAGCATTTGGAGTACATGGACTTGCGTGATTCAGTTTACAACCTCCGCTGGCAATTGCAAAAGCAACTCGTTTTATCATTCGTTCAGAACTGAAATATTGGCTATTCGGCAAGGGAATTGGATTTTTTCCTATATTAGTCAGAGCTCTTTGTTCGTTTGATATTATGTGATTCAAAAGGGTTGGGCTAGGATAGATGTTATGCCGTGGATTCTTAGTATATCCGGTGATGAATCAGTGTCTAAATTTAGCTGAAAAATGCATTGGTAATTTTGTTTAAGGATCAGATTTAATATACAATCAAGACCTTACATTTTTGTAAATGATTCACAATTTGAAATGTGTCATCAGGAGTACAGTAATTTCATTTAGAACCCAAAATATATATATATTAATCCCGTTTTCCAAATTTGTTTGCCCAGTAAAAAACTTAATGTTGCTTCAGATATTGTATATTTGAAATGTCTTTAAAAGCTTAGGCTAACTTAGAAGTAGGATTTACGCTCCGCTTGTCCTTAGGAACGCACAATTTGCACTGTAAACCGCCTCGGGGTCGTTGGGGTCCATTGGCCCTTGCTGCCTGATCCCTTACGCACTCATCGAGATGCGTTGCTCGTACTCGGCGATGCGCATTCGTACAGGAACCACCAAACTTAGGTCCTCCATGATGGTGTGATGCTGGGGCCGCACAGTTGCGCTCGAGTTTTGCCGCGAAATGGTGGCCCGTGACTTGTCCATCGATGGCTTGCGGCGCAGCGTGCACTTGCGATGACTGCCACCCTTGCCCACACCCGTGGGCGTGGCAAATGGAGAGGGAATCGGAGCAGATGCACCCAAACGTTTGGGCTTGGGTGGCGGCACCATTTGTGTGGTGGTCGCCTGGGAGCTGAGGGAGCTAAGGGAGCTATTGCTACCGGTGGTGGCAGCCACCTGGGGGCGACTGGAACGCAACAACGATATGAAGCGATTTCGATTTGAGTTGGTATTGCCGGAGGACTCAAAGGTGTTGGTCAGTTTGTTGAAGAAGTTGATTTTGTCGCTGACAGTGGGGGCGACAGCAGCTGCGGCCGTTTCCTCTTGCAAGTGTTGTTGCTCATGATGCAGTTGCTGATGCTGCTGTTGTTGAACTTCCTCCTGCTGCACTGCGGCTTGCGGTTTGTCCTGCTCCACATCGGAAGCATTGTTCCGTTTGGACATTTCCAGAACCTTTTCCCGCAACTCCATGGACCAGCGCTTCTGTGCCGTATGCAATTTGGGTCGCAGGGCCGGAATGCCTTCCCCATTCTGATTTTTGGTCAACTCCAGGGAAAGTTGGCTGGTGAAACGCGGTTTCGGCGTGGAAGTGACCGATGGGGCGGACATGTCCTCGTCAATGTCCATTTCCAGTTCGCTGATGAAGGAGTTGGAGTTGGTCGATGTGCGGGAAGTGGAGCCAGAGCCAGGACCAGAGCCGGTGCCCAGTGCCATGGCACTGCCAAAGCCAGGAGAGGCGGGATTCAGTTTGTAGTTGTAGAACTGAAAGTTGAATGTGCTGATGCTCATGTTGAATGCTGTTTTCAGACTGCGATGAAGTGGCATGGAAACCCGAACTTATATAGTGTCTCTTCTTGGGACTACCTGCTCCTGAAGCAAGTCCTACCTGGAGTCCCAGCTAAATCCCGACAGCTGCCGCGGCTCAACTTGACTCGTCTGGGGCCTGATTCCAGGAAAACTACCTGAGCGAAGCTCTCTGTCATAAAGATAAAAAAGGAAAATGGCAAGAGGCCAGATTTCCCGGGAAGCGCAACCCGAGCACGCGAATTTTGCGTGTTTTCCGCGCACTAATTTTCACGAAAAAGACACTCACTGCTCCGCTGCTAATCCGCGCACTTTTATGAGGATCTCACAAAAAGGATTAGCGGAAGATTTACGATTTACGCTCTCGTCCTGTTCGGGGGCATTAATTCATAAATAGCTTAAAAACGCGACAGATGTTCTCTCGGCGTTCGAGAAAAATGCGGACCCCGCAAAATGATCTGGTTTTATGGTCCCATCTCTACGCTCCGCTCTGTTGACGTTTCATTAGCTGGCTCATTACAATCAAAATCAATGCAATTAATGGCCAATAATTCACTCGACACTCGGCAATTGACAGATGGCAAAACAGACCAGGATAGCACAAAGTAGAGAGGGAAGTGTGAAAAGGGGTGAAAAGAGAAATTATAAATGCAGG